CCTCTGCTTCCTTTACGCAGTTAGTTAGCTCTGCTTGTGTTCATCGTGTGTATCCGTACACACAAAAGGAGGCTTCGCTACACTGGATGTCATTTTTGTTCAGCCCTTTCTTAAATTGCCTAAGATACTGACCGACTACACCGTCTTCAAAAGGGTGTCTTTAGTTGTCGAAGTTTATATTCGTCACGCAATATATTAGCTCCCCTTACCTTGGGAGGTAGGAAGCTTCGTGATTACCACAAAAAAAATTTTTTCTTTACGGTGCGGAAGGATGGGAACAGCTTAACAAGTCAAAGAGACAGAGAGAACGAGTTAATTCGAGCTAGAAAATCTGGTTCCCTATTACCCTAAGGCGAAAATAGTGATCTTACAGTTTCTGTAGGATGTGCTTGTAGCATGTAAACTACAATGATTACGTGAAGACATGGCGTACGTTTAAGGCTTTTTCATCGTCTTCAAAGGATTATTTCATTTCCCTCTGCAAATGGGATTCATAAATTAATCACTAAGACTCAATGTAGTAAAAAAAAAAATGGCGGTCGGTAATGGCGATGAAAACACTTGCATGACATTGCATCGTTTGACTAATGATGTAATCACTTCCGATGTGGATCGCGACTTTTCGACTGCACACTGCGAGTCTTCACCTGAAGAGGCCTCGCCCATTTGTCCTGTCATTTTCGGTCTTTTTGTTGATATTTGATGGATGAGGTATTTCCTTGAGAGTTCCTTATCAACATATAAAAATTTAATACAGTTCACTTGTCCAATTAGCATTCCCTTGACTTTGGCTGACAACTTTTCTTTGTTCATCTTTCTTTTGTCTTATTAGTATGAAATGTGTTGTGTTAAAACTTTCGTAAATGGCATTTAAAATGTTGAAGGTAGAAAAGGAATGGTACCATCACTGATCCTTGTGGTACCATCATGTTTTCTTGTTAGGCTCTGAGTTAACTGATTTATTTTTTCACAATTTAGCTTCTCTTCGTTCTTTAATCTCTACACCATGGTTAAACAGTTCTTTGTGTTCACAGAATCCATGGTTTTTTGTATCAAATGCCTTGGCAAGATCTGGAAACTCACCAACACTATATTCATTGTCATCAATTGACTGTAATATTAGTGTTACAAGCTGCTTTCCTGCTAAGTCAGTGGAATGTTTCTTACAAAAGCTGTATTGGATATGTTTTCAATATATGTTACAGTTCTCTTACACACAAGTTTCTTGAAATTTTTACCAAAACACGGAAGAAAAGGAATCAGTTTATTAAATGAAAGTTTCTGCTTTTGATTTGTCTTTAAAATTTATCAGGATTATCAGAGTGATTCTCAATTTCATTTGGTATTAATTGAGTGAGAAAAGTTCGATTGAATGTTTCAGTGATAAATTTAACTATGGAAGTACCTATTTTCCAAACTACTTTGGTGATATTTCATCTCAGCCAGACACCCTCCTTGATTTCAACTGATTATTTTTAACTTCAAGCTTATTTTATCTGTTACTAAACGGCTGTGAATATATGAAAGTCATACTACTAGTTACTGTTTCTAAAGATAAAGATGTTTTTTATCTCTTACTAAGGTACAAGTTAAAAATTGATGTTTTGCAATGGAATTTATTCGACCAAGCTTGGATTAACATTTAAAAATACTGATAGAGTTCATTCGTTTTTTGATTTGGTCGTGAAATTATTTATACTTCTTCCTTAAAACTATTTTGCTTTTCTAATTAAATTTTCTTACCTGTTGATGACCCAATGTCTCGTTAGGATAGCCTTACAGATCTATCCTTTTTGCCATTCAGCGTGAAAGTGACGCGAGAACAAATAAAATTCCGCTAATATCCATTTTAACAAAGAGCACTTGTCCAAACAAACAACGAATTAAAAGGCAATTTGTCTACTTTGAATTTTGAAACAGTAAAATACAATATTCAAGCGTTTAACTGCCTATAGGGGTCCCACGGGGGCAAAACAAAGCTCTGGAGGTGAAGGGAACTTGAGAGCTGTTGGCTCTCATTCTAAGTAAGGGAATAGTCATATCGTTTATTGAGCTTCCCTCTGTCAAGTTGTGTAAATTATCGCGTATCGACATCAGTATTTTTCATAAAGCGTTCTCCAAAAGAAGTTTTAAAAATTTTTATCTACCACACATGTGGGTTACACCGCGCACCGCCAATTTTCACATCCTGTTCCGGGCTTCCGATCCAAAAAAACGACCTGTTAACGATCCTGTTTACGTGTACAATGTTTTGAGACTCCGAGACCCCAAAAAACCACACTCTGTGGGAAGTTACAGATGAGAGAGAATGTTCTCCTGAACGGGGTCGTATGCAGTTGACAGCTGCAAATTATAATTGGCTATCAAATGATGATCTTGCTGAAACTTGTCATGTGGAAAATTGGACGACTGAAAAGGTTATGAAAGGTATGTTCCATAATCAGTAAAAAATGTGTTTGTGATATCTTCTTGCTAATCTAGAACTTAATCCACCCTGAAATACGTAGTAAAAAGAACATACAACAAATCAGGTAAATTTTAAGTCAGAAATTGTTTCATATGGTAAATTTTGCCAAATGTAGTGTTCTTCGGTCGAAAAAAAGGACATTTCCTGACGCGGCAGATGAAACAAACGGACTAAGAAGACAATTGATATAGTTCACACGGTCTTGAAACAAAAGGTCAGAGTGAAAAACATAATTCTCCGAAAAAATCATTGTATAGTTACACTTATTTCCGAATCTGACCAAAGCAACGTGAGATATTATTTTTTAATCGCTCGATTGTGTGGAGCTGGTGGGGTTTTTTTCCTTATTACGTCGTCAGCGGACCATTTGTTTGAAGGGAAATTTTATCTCCAGAACACTCTAGATGTATTCTGTTACGCTGTCTGTTATCCTCTCCAGGACAGTGGATTAGGAGAAGGTCACTCAACGTTACCTGTCGTATTGAGGTTTAACTGTACTACACTGAGGATATTGCTGGCTAAAAGGATCTTTTTGGGGACAGACAGTACCTTTATGCCTGTTTAGGGGTGTTTTGACTGATAGTAGCTGACGGAGACGTTTACTTCTATTTTTGACCTTGATTGTTTGGTCTTGATTCTTGACACGCGCTGTTTCTATTGATCAATAGACTACGAACGTCACGACTTAATTGGTAGTTTAGTATAGTATTTCGTTTATGTCTCTTCTCGCTTAAAATGACAAGTCGCCGACACTGCTAACATCCTGAACAAGGTGACCACGATAGAGACCAAGCCTTCCCTGGCAGTACACAAGAGACGTCCAAGTGTGTTATGAAGATAGATCGAATGAGAGAGATACTCCAGGCAGCTTGGATTTCCTCAGACACCGTTTAGTTCACACATTTAAGAATAAAGAACGGAGTTGTACATATTTCGTCTCGCGATATTTGAAATTTCCGGTATTGGAAGTAAGCTTCCTTACTCCCCTTACAAACAAGCTGCGTTTGCGTTGTAATCAGTTTAACTAGAGCGATGATCAAGTTCCTCGTGTTACAATACACCTCACCAGGTTGTTTCCTTTTTTTTATATTCATTCTTTACCAAAACCGCAAAGTTAAAAGGGTAACATAATCACCATCTACAGTCAGAAGGTGTTAATGTTCTATAGAGCATGAACTTCTTGAATAATTTATCCATTTCCCGAAGATAAACACTCATTATATGAAATGCGCATTGCACCATACTTGACGAGACAGGGAATTACAAAAGTCTTTCCGGAGTTGGGCCTCCTAAACAAGCTCAGCTTGCTATGGAGCTAGTAATTCTTTAAGAAATGTGAATTAAAATTCCCAACAAACCTTCACGTGGGAAGAGTATACACGAGTGATATTCATGCGCAACATGGCAGTTTAAATGAGTCGAACTTCTTTGAGCGTCCAAGGGTATGGCGGGGGTAGACCATATTGATCCCAAAGTAAACTCTTACTCGATTGTACCTTTTCAATGGAAAATGATAGCGTAACATTATTACAACTCACCTATAAGAAGCACATTTCAAGCTGCTCACCGCAGTCGACTCTTGCGAACACACGACTGTAGATCTGGGTTTAGGTTTGAAATTGCAAGCGCTCCCAAAGCAATATTGCAAGCTTCTGGCCTAATTTACAAGGAGTCTTTCGTTTCACAGTTGCAGTTTCTAACGAAACACCGTTTTTTTCCTTGAAAAAACGACTGGATTAATCAGTGAGCTACGACTGAAATTTTCGCGTGTTGTTGTTGCGAGTGATTTGCTCATAGTGGGAGGTGCTGGAGGTGCGCCAGAGTATCTGGCGACATTTCATCTATTGTTTATGCGCGGTCACGCCTCCGTTGCGCTAACTCGCGAGGTTCCCGCGAGGTTCTTGCGAGGGAAAACAAAATGGCTGAAAGCCCTTACGGAAAAACTTTCTTCAGCACCTTTCTACGAAAAAGTCGGTGTTGCCGATCCGTCAGCGATCACTTCACTTGTTATATTAACGCTTTATGTAAATGGCTATCACAAAAAGGTATAAAAACGACTCCAAGACACTTGCTTTTCCCTTCTTCTTGGGCGAAAGCCTGTTATGTTGACACATAAGGGGGTAGAGTGGACTAGTTTGAAATAAAGGGAAAGTAATTGAAATATGTCTTGTGGAACTTTCATATCCAGCTTTTCATAGTAAACTTAGCTCTACCAATTTTCATTTGGTTAATTTATGTAATGACAGTGTTATGATGATTAACATTTGAGAGGGTGGTTATCTGGTGACTGACACTCAGTTAAACTTTACCTTTAGAGAATCAGACACATCCTGGATTAAATGTGTCATAAAATACCCGCACTCTCGAACTTTTTAATCTAAATGTTTTCAATGAACGACCAGGATCTAAAATCAGCACGATACGCACAGAGAAAAAAATTAACGTCAATTTAAGTGACGCTGCAATAGGTAACCGACCCACATGGCCGGATGTTTGAAGAACGACGGATGTACAGGGGTCGTAAATCAAGCGGTTTTCGTTTGATACTGTAACTAATTTTATTAAAAAAATAAGGATGAAATAGATATTCTTTACAAACCCTCACACAATTTCATACACTATGTAAACGCTCTTGATTGCTGAAGAAAATCATCGGGAAAACTGTTAAGCCACGAGTACAGGCTTATCTCGTTTACTCATGCAGCAGGATTCCACGAGAAGGACGCCGACAGCCACGTATTGTTTCACCTCCTTAGCGGATGTCAGCCCACAACAGAGTATCCCAACATGAGGTCAGCTTGCCTTCTTCGTCGCCATCAATGATGCCTCCTGGATTGGGAAAATCGGCCTTTACGTTGGATATCTGCCTTCTTTTCAAAGAACGCAACATATAGGCGAAAATAATGGTCTGAACTGATGGAGACTGTTCTGTTTGGAGTCCATATCACACAATTATTACGCCTTTGATTTCCCAGTGTAATTTTCACCTTCTGCAAGAAATTTAGAAAAATTTTACTTTAGAGAGGTGTGGCTGTGTATAGTTCATGAAATGAATGGGAAATCAAGGTGATAAATTTGAGGCATGGATGAACTAAAGCACGCCACGTACGTGATAGGGATTATGAAGGAATGGCAGATTATCTATTGTAAACAACTCTAATTACTCAATGAGACACGCGCCATTATCAAACACATGGAAACATCAAGTTTTGAGAATTTACAAACGATACGGCAAATTTTATGATTTTCAAAACAAGTTTACCTTTTGATCAGGTTCAGGGTTTTTTCATGTTCGGGGTTTCATCAAGGGCAACTGTATCACAACCCCCTGAATACAGTTCCTTATTGACAGACAAGTTGTTGAAAGTGTTGAACTCAATCTGCTAAGGACAGCTGTAATATTCGCATTGAAAGCAGTCTAAATAATGGACAAAAAATTAAGAAAAAATCTGCATGTTACGATCCGGATCAAAATCCAGGAAACTACACTGAATATAATTGATTCTAATCAAGAGCTAACGTTTCTCAAGACGACTGTATTTCGCTCCACTGGAATATTGTAATGACCTTTGCTATTGCAGTTAGTCAAAATGAGTTGTGAGTTGTTTTTGATTCGCTAGTACAGATGCTTGCAGGTTGGGAGTCCTCTTCAAGTGTTCAAATGTCTGATGCGGCTAGGAAATATAATCTCGATCTCTAATAAGATGGAATGCCAACCAAAACTGTGCTTCGACATTCTTCCCAAGTTTTGGTTGCGTTCTTTGGCACCAACTCGCGCTTATTTGTGAGGCGAAGTACCGTGAAATAAGTTTCTTGTCAAACAACACAGTTTAGAAAGGATTCAGTCAATTTCACATCTTTTTCTTCTACGCACTCTGCGAATTAATATACGAATTAATCGATTGCGATCTCACCGGCCGTTAAAACTAAACACATCTTTACATTAATGTCTGGACCAACCAAGGCCAATTACTTAAGCTGTACTGAAAAAAGTCAGTTTTGCACGATCCTCAGCGTTAATAACACGACCACTACATTTACAACTATTAAAAAAACAACCCCATTACCATTTAAAACCAATATAAAATAACTACTACTGCTACTAGCACAACGATTACGCCATACTCACCTACGCAACTGAGCTTTCTTTGCATGTTTTTCGTCCTTAAAGTTTTTCTCTGGCTCATGTAGATGGAAAGATACAACGACTCTATCCTCAAAATGTAGGCCTGTGGTTCAAAAACATATGGCCTGTGGTTCAAAAACATATGGCTTGAACACAGAAAGTCGAAGAAAAAAAATAATGAAGCACAAGATTAGTAGTCTTGGTGAATTGATAAGGATTGTTTCCAAGAGATAAGGATGAATTGCTCATTCAAATAAAACCTTGAGAGGCTTTATTTGCGAATGTACAAAGCGATGACTTTTGTTCCCCTTGCCCAGTGCGCTCACCTAAGTAAATTTGAAAGTTTCTAGGCTTAGCACAACTTGGCAATTTCGCTATATTTCGTGTACTGTAACGACTGAGAGCACAAAACCTTTGTAATACGAGTTTCATTGGTTTTACATACGTCACGAGCTAGAGAGGAAATTTAACGAATTCCTTAAACAACAATATCGCTGTGATATCCCAAAGGAACATTGATCATCATATGCACCACACCCTCTCATCTGCATACAGCACCACACTCAGGAAATTCTAATCATGCTTTAGCTCAACTTCACGAAGTAAAGAACGGACACACCCAAACCATACTTACTAAAGCAAAGACACTTTCATAGAAAGCATTGTAATCACACAATCTACTTTAACTACACAAGCTGCATCAACTTGGTGGGTGCTGACAACATGAAATGCAAAAAACCTTTGATTTCTATCATAGCAAACAAACAGCATCTAAATGAGCACATGTTATTACCAATTGGCATATGAGGTAATTTATATTCAGAATGAACCTCTTTAGGTTAAGAGTTTTATCCTTTATATAAAAGACCTCGAGAGGTTTGAATAGGGCTCTCTTTCATTTCCAAACTCTTGGACTGTGTGACAGAGGGAAACGGTTTTGAAAAGTTGTGTCGTCGGTGTAAAAAATTTCACACATAGCTTTATCTTTAAGAAACCTTTTTGCACCTTAAAAAGTATAATTGAAACTGCATACAATCCCTCGAGTGATAAACTATCGATTTAAATCCAAAACGAATCAACGGCTGCTTCATACGCTTTTGTGGCCGCCATATCAATAGCCATGCCTGAGGAGGCTAACCTGGCGACTCCCACAGTTCTGTCAATTAATTAGCGGAAATATTTCTATGAATCACCCACGCATGAATAACATTCTAGAACAAAACCTTGACAGTTCCATTAATTAATCAAACTCCAAACAAGAGCTAAATTACTGAGTTATCAGATCAATTTTTTTTCATTATTTTTGTTTACCAAGGCGCGCTTGATGCGATGGGAAAACCACGAATTCATGATTTAGGTTGAGAAAAGAAATTACTGGTAACGTAAACCATTCTGCTGAGTCACCAAAACAAACTAGACCTACCTTCTATACCAACAATGCCATGACATGATCACTTACTGCAGGGATTAACGTAGGCGATCTCATGCAGAGAGCCTAACACAAATTATACCATTTAGTGCACCAAGCTTCACCCTAACCTCAGTTAAACAAACAGCACCGAGCATGATTAAAAACCTGAGGTAAACTGACTTAGTCAGATCAGCTTCGCAATCTAGATCAATCTTAGTTGGCTGTAACAAAGTAAGGGAGGTGTATCAATTACAGTTACTATTAATATAAAAGAGTTAAAAAGATAACAGGAACCACTTAAGTCGACATGCCAGATGCACTATTTACAGGACCCATTGTTACTTCGTCAAAATAGTTTCGCTAACACAATTTAAACCAACCGCAACCAAATAATTGTTGATCAATTCTACCAGACAATAAAAGGAATGAAATTGGCCACGACAAAATTATTTTTGTCTTTGTTGAATAAACTAGACAAACCAAACAAGCAACAAAAACGCTTTAGCACGAGTTCACACCGCAGAAGATTTTCCTACTTTGCTTGTAGTTTTCAACAGAGGGGCATTCGGATTCTAAACTGTTTACACACAAAGGTAAATCCAGTTTCATTCCTTACTGAAATTGGTTTTAACAAGATTATTCATTTCGACTGTCTTCCTAAAATAGTTTAAATGGATTCAAATGTCACAACCACGATCTTGGTTCGACATGTGATAACATGAAAATCCTTCAGTGAGCCATTTACTGTTCGTATTCTTTCCCAATAACACCTCAAACAATAATAAAGGGTTAAGTTCCCAAAAAGATAGAAAGGTTCTGTACCTTTGTACTTGTAGTGATATGATACATTATCACATAAAGTAAGTTAACAGAATTTTTAGAAAAAAATAGAAGACTTTAAAAGTATTGTTTCATGCATTTGAACGTAAAAGTTTACTTTAAAATGTAGATCCAAAATCTCCGTCATTGTGGCCAAACTGGAACGGATTGGTGAACGGGTTTGGATTGAACACGAATGCGGAAAAATCTCTACTGTTTATCTTGTCTAAGTATCGTGAACACATCAACCGAGCACAATGTAATTAACACGCCATCTAAGCAGTGAACTGACGCCAACACGAAAGACCTCTGGAACGACAAATATTAGTAAATTAGGGTAATAATGTGTTGATAGTTGTACAAATCAGCTATGGAAACCCTTCTTTATTTACAATTATAAGCTAAAATGCATTCTTTCATTGCCCATCTATATCTGATCTAATTAAAACAATCCATCTGAATGCTATAAAAACATGAAAACATTAAGAACGCATGGCATGATAGATGTTAGTCTCAAATCGCGATCTACAAGTAGCTGTGGTGCAGATTCTGGAATCGTGCACGCATCCCAAGGTAAGAGGTGTATCTTATTAACTAAGAGCTACTAGTTAAACCAACTCTCGGTTTTATCCTAAAGAACTGATTCACTCCTGTCTTGAAATTGGTCTAACTTAAGTTAAAGCAGGTATTACATAACCAACATTCTCGTGAGTAACAACAGTTGCAGCAACGAATCAAGCGTTTTTCATTCTAAGAAAATCCATGTCGGACAAAGAGAAGGCAAAATACAAACAGCAAGATAGGCTTTACAGGATGATCGGAGTAAAAGCCGCAGATTATAACATGATCAGATTACGCAAATATTATGATTTTCTTTCTTTTTTTCTGTTTTTTAAAAAAGTTAAGTATGGTATTCGAATATTGGATTATCAAACTTGCTTAAAAACAGTTAGCTAAACGAAAACCAGACAAGTCGTTATTCCAGCCTCCGCTCTACTCCCACGGTGGAGGCAAAAGGTGTGCCAAGTTTCTCGGAATTCTCGATGAAGATATGCTCAAAGGAATGGGGTTTCTTGTTGAAAACATTGACCATGATTGACCTTTACTTAACTTATGTTCACGTGTATTCAATTCATTTTAACCTGAAGGAAACATCCCAGCAAGTGGGAAGAAAATTTCCTGCGAGTATGTTCTCAGAAATTGATGGGAAGTGCTATGCATACGGATGTCCGTTGGCTTGTTTACCAAAACGCCACACCACAACCATTAATTCATAAATTATGACAACGTTGTGCAAGTCTATCTGTAGTGTTTAAGCTTATTTACACCATTTTGCGCAGAAAAGTTCGACACCTTACGCCATCTAGAGCCTAAACTCAACCCTCGACTGACCCGATGCATGAGTTTGGTGTCTCATTACTCAGCAAATTTTATATACAAAAGCCAAGTGGAGAGCAAATACCTTTTCTTTGAAGCGCTTAAGATTGCGCCAGAATTTCCCGTCCGATAGCAATCGAGCAGTCGTCATTATTTTGTTCAACTCCAACATTCCAGAACGTTTAATCAAAAACAACTGCCCATCTAGATGTTATTGTGTCGTTTTAAGAAATATTCAGTTTTCCACAAACAGAGCAGCAGTTATTAGCTTCTGACAACGCCGTAAGGATCAAAGTACAATGTTTGCCACCACGTTTCCATGGCATGACGTGACGGCCCACACGTTTCCGTCTTACCGATATAAATCACCCAATTTTTTTTCCGGGTTCTATAACATGCACGCAACATGAAGTCAACAAGGTTGAATGGCTAAATTGACGATATCCAACCCAAATAAACGTTTGAATCGAATTCTTACATTATCGAGAGTTTCGGCTGAAATTAGTACGATTTTGAAGTATGACGGTAGAAATCACACGCGACCATGTTGACGTCGTGACAAGCAATTAAGCACGTTGAGGAACGTTTTTTCTTTGACACTTTTATATAAAAATATAATTGTTGTCAAAAGTTAAAATCGATGTACTTGAAAGTCATTGCAAGCTTCTTCTTTTATTCGTTATTTGTCATTAAGAATATACCCACAGATTCAAATTGACCGTCAACTATAATATAATGACAAAGTTAACAGATTCATAAAATCATTAAATACAATTTTGTACATTAAATGGCCGCTGCGAAAGGTTATCAATACTTCATACTGTTTAAGTTGCTTGGATTTTTCAAGACTTCCACTCTCCCAAAAAAAAAATAAATATACAGATCTTCATTATCTACGGTAAAAGAATAACTTACAATAACCACAACCGTGGAAAATAATCACTGCACCGAGTCCCCTACCCGCAGTTATTATATTACATTCCTCTGAAGCATACCTATATACACAGACTGAACGTAATTTTTTAATGTGGTCTCTACACGAGGGTTTTACGACTTTTATGGAGGGAGAAATTATAAACGCATGGAAATATGCTACGTTAAATAAACGTGGATAACCAGGTATTGTGATGGAAAGTTCTTCATTTTCATTTGTGGAGGTCCATGGTATGAACCATGGGTCTTTTTTGATCAAACTAACAAATATATTGATCTCATTGAAATTCTAAGCGTTTTCCTACAATGCACTAAGAAATTCCATCGTGAAATTTAAAAAATAAAATGTTTAAAGCTACATTGAGCGTAATTAGTACTTTACTATTGACCTACAATTCAATCCATACTAATAAGGTTGAAAGGCACAACTGGTTATGAAAAAACGACAGATTTCTTTTCTCTGTTTTTTTAACGGTTTTTTGCACCAGCCCGCGCAAAATCTTATCAATGATTTGAACTACCTGTTCAATGGAAAGTTTCACTAATGCTTAAGTCATATTGTGTAAAGACACAGAAAAAAAATTAGTCACCATGAAGAACACCCAAGCTGAACTGTAGCACTATTTTTTTACCCTTGATTTTGCCGCCTTTCATGACCAGTTTACTCTACCGTGTCTACGAGGAAGACATCGTCGATCGTCATGATTAATTCGCCTTCCACTACACCTCTACAGTTTTCCTAACTCAATTTAAGAACTCCTCAATTGGGAATACGGAGAAAATAAATATTATTTGTACTTTATTCCGAGCAAAAAAATTTTGCCCTGACAGCAACTCTTACTTGCTACGGTCTATTTTTTAAAAACTTGGAAGTCCTCATAAAGTTTGCCATTATACGCTCTCAGATTGATGCACTTCTGGAAAAAAAAGAGAAAGACATAAATTTAATCACTATAGTTTACTGACTTTTCAAATAGTATTGATATTCATTTCGTAGATAAACCGTAATACACTCCTGATCTTACTTATGATCAACCTTTACGTCCTTGTAATATCCTAGATCTTTCTTCAATGTTACTAATTCATCTTTCAGTTTACTTCTTTTACTTTTTTTTAAAAGTCTGTATGTTGTTTGTTTTTGGTTGATGATGTGGATTTATTTTCATACTTGATATAAGTTAAGTTCATGATAATTTCCCTCTGTTCAAGCTTGTTTAAATAATTTACCTGAATCTCCCTGTCCAATTGGTTCAAAGTCTTGTTAAGTTGCGAAAACGTGAGTCGCTTATCCGGATCTTTATTCCAACAGGATCGCATGAGGTCGTACCTGAAAAAAATAACATGCGTCGTGGTTAGCAATTAGAGGCAGAACGCGAGATACTGAGGGCAGCTATGCCGGCCTGGGTCGACGGCCTTGGTCAAGTATCCGAGCAGTTTAGAAATTTTAGATAAACATTTCATCGAATAACAGGTTACCGAAATTAATACTCACAATTTATTGTGTACATGATTTGGTTTCTCCATTCTGTAGCCACTTTTTAACTTTCTTGTCAGCTCGGAAACATTCACACCAGGATAAGGAGCACCACCTTAAAGGAGGCAAAAGACAAGAGATGAATAAGGTAATTCTGCATACGTGTAAACCTGCTCACAACGTCAGAGCAATTCACAGTTTCCACTGTATTGAATACAAAAAAAAATGATGCTGCTCTACCCCCTTGAATAGGATATTGGTTCATTAGATAACCCCCCTGCACCTCGCCAGGTTTCCTTGAATTCTGCTTGGTACCAGATTATATTGGGGAGGGGGGGAGGGGGGGAAGCTAGGACGATAAATGAATGAATGAAGGGTGGAGCAAAGAAAAGATAGATCAAAAAATGAAATAAATAAAAAATTAGATGTATACCTTGCGGAAGAAATGCTATTGAATTAACACCAAATAAGGAACAATTAAATCTTACCAATAGTGAATATTTCATACAGGACCACTCCAAAGCTCCATCTAAAGATGAAATATAACGATAAACGTGAGTAAAATTGTTTTTTTTTTAGTTTACACCAACTGGAGAATGTCCAAAACCATTTCCCAAAAAAATTTAAAATATTGAGCCCAAACAAGTGTTTCTTTACCATAAGAGGTATGTCGAAGAAATAAAATTTCCAGTTTGAAAAATTGATTCTGCAGTTTCCAACAAGAAGTTATAATCGCTTGGTGCCTCATTACGATGAAGCAGGGAACAATTAACTTACACATCGCTTTTCGTAGTGTAACGTCCGTGCTCCAAGGATTCAAGTGCTGTCCATTTTAAAGGAAGGCGACCCTGAAAAAAACCGATAAATCAGTATAAATATATATATATATAAATGGATAGTTATGCATTTCTATTTTAATTTGTTTTATTTCTACAAGGTTACTGTTTCTTACCTCCGACGTCCTTTCGTAAATATCTTTGCTGCGCGTGTTTCGCGCCATCCCAAAATCTGTGACTTTACACGTCAAATTTTCCCCCAAAAGGACGTTCCTCGCTGCCAGGTCACGATGGATAATCTATAAATAGATTTGTAGCGATTATGATTGGATAATTTGGTAGAGAGTGCCAAAGTTGATGAGTGCCAATTTAAGCAGATGTCAAGATCGTTAAAAATATTAATAAAAGCATTTTTTGTCTCTGAGTTCTAGGTTCACACCATTCTTCTTTCCAACCCACAAACTTAAAACCTTCACTTGCTCCACGTTTGTTCTTCTTTACAACATAGATTTGGTTCTGGGTTGCGTTTGGACTTGAAATAGCGCTTCGTTATGTGATGCGCTCGAACTCCAGCCAGAAAATCTTACCTTTGCCGCGCTGAGATGTGCCATTCCATCGGCAATCTCCCAGGCAAATTTCATCAACAGCTGTGATGTAAGGCTTCTTTCGGGGAGTTGTTGTATGTCGTAGTAATCATCCCTTAAACCTCGTTTCTTTCTCAAGAAGCCCAGTAGATCACCGTAAGGGGCATATTCAGTGATGACACATAATGGCTCTGAGAAACAGCAATGGAAAGATTCGCAATAAGATGGAAATCAGATATTGTAATAACACCAAAAATAGAGTGAGAATCTCAATTATGTTGAAAGAAATGCTAAATTTAGAGGGCTTAAATATCAGTTGTTTTTCTGAGAGTGTTTCTGAGAGTGGGTGACTCTTAATGGACTGACAACATCTGTTAACCCTTTAATCCCCATGAGTGACCAAGACAGAATTTCTCCTTACAATATCAATACAATATTAAGCAGACAAGTGATGAGAATAAAGAAATAAATCAGATATTTATAAGTTGATCCAATACCAAGTTCTCCAAACCAACGTCACAAGAACCGTATGGCAGACAGTCAGGAGAATTACTAATGAGATCTTGGGAGTTAAAGGGTTAATGTTATTGCAATAATAGAGGAAAGATTTCTCACCAGATTTTGTGACGCAAGCCAGAAGTTGAACCACGTGTTTATGTGAGAATAGTTCCTTCATCACCTTTAGTTCTGATAGCAAATCTTCGCGTTGTGATCCATTTGAATTTTCTGGAAATAAGAAGATGTTCTTATTGTAAATTCCTCAATCTGTAAAGTCCTTAAAAAGTACGACAATTAATTCTTTTTTAAAACTTTTTTTACGTGGCAACGTTAGATAAACGCTGCGATTGAGGAATTATATGTGCAAAAACAGGTATTCTAAGGTTAAACTTATGGGGCTGATATTTCAGTTTCAAATAAAAATTCAAATCAATTATTTATGCAACTATTCGTGTTTTGAAGCAGTCGCGGATCAATATCAGTATCTGGACAACTGCCCACCTACCCCCTCCCTAACCCAACATTAACCTTAACTCGTTGTCAATTGACTGTTGTTGAGTTAGGGAAGGGGTAGGTGGGCAATTGCCCAGATACTGATATTGATCCGCTGTCGCTATGTTAGTTTAAGTTCACTTACCTTTTACTGTCTTAACTGCGACTATCGCCCAACCTCCTTCCTCTGTGACATCCAGTGCGTAACCCTTTTTGACAAGCCCAAACTCCCCTCGGCCGACGGTGTTTTCAATTCTAAGTCTGTCCCTGGAAATTTCCCATTTCTGCGATGGAGGAAGAAGGAAACTTGTTTCTGGCAAGATACCTCTTTTAACTCCAATTGTAGGCGGTTCGCCGTGAGTAAGATGCGAGTACATTTGCATGTCAAACATCCCTAGTCCAGTTGTCAAGTGTCCATTGTCTTGTCCCAGCTTGTCATCTGGAAACGAGCGTTTCGAGCTTTTGAGGCTTTTTGAGCCTCGGCCGGTGGGTATGTCATTAAGATGGCTATACACCGAAGACCCCTCTGAAACATAGCAGTAATCATGTGTCACAGGGTTCCTGCTGTATCTGGGTTTCTCATCCTCCATCGAGTATCCAAGGTTCAAGTTCTTCTGAAAGATGTCCGTTATGGATTCATATTCATTCAAAACCTGCAAAATCAAAATAGATTTGATCAAGAACTGGTATAGGGCATGCGATTGTTTGCTTGAGCATAGTTGACTGTCAATCTTTATACCAAAAAGTGTATGACAGCTTTTGATAATTAAAATATTTCTGCGTCAGTGTTAATGGTGGCATTTCCATTTGACGTCAAAGTAACGAAATGTAATTGCTATCTTAAATAATTAATTGACAGACTCTCAGTCCTTTCTAAGACTTTGCTTGTCTAAGGTGCGAAAGTTCTTTCGTCAAGTAGTCTGTAAATTGTTCTAAGAATTGTCTTTTTGATAACTTTACCACACAAAGAACAGTTGATTTAATTGTCTAATATAAGAAAAGTATTTACCGATGTTTCTTTTAGCTCCACCATACTCGCAAGATAAGAAGGATTACCCAGTTCACTGTCAACATCGCTGTAAGGAAATACAGATGAATTGTTCAAACAAAAGGCGATGATAAGTGAATAGATAAATAAATTTATAACATTTTGGCTTAGTCGATGATTAAACGTTGCTAAATTTCCAGTAAAATACAGTAGAAAACAAGTTATGTTAAAACCTGTTTGGTATATTAGAAATGTTTCTTTAAAAATAACGCATCTGTTGCAGTGATCAGCAATCGAAGAAATATTAGAACCTTCACGAACGCTCACCTTTCAATTTCTGTTTGCTTATCGCTATCACCACTGCTTTTGGAACAATGCTTGACGATAACTGAAAAGATAAATTTATTGATAAGTTGATATCAGAAAAAAATGAAACTTGATTTCTAAAATGAGATCATGAAGGTAATTTTTTCCAATGATAGATAAGGGGTATGGACCTAGTAAATCTAAAATGCTACAGTGCTATTAACTCTAATAAACTAATTCAGTGGTTTACTTATTGCATTTCCACTTTTTGGGGTAATTTGAGTTGTTGAAGCGCTAATTTGACGACTGGAGAAACGCGTGGGCCGCTATTAACCTTAGTGGTTTCATTTACTTGAACAAAGGTCAGGACGAGCGATACAGACTTCTGACAGGCAGTTATCTAAAATGGCTCGGTATAAATGTCTTTCAAATAATAAATAATAGAGTTGGTATGCTTCTTCACAAGTAATTTCTCCGTTGAATTCCTCAAATAATTTCACTGATGTGAAAGTTTCCTGTTTCTTTGTCCAAGAAATCAAACAGTTTTATAAACAAATGCAGACAAATACCTTGAAAAAAGTGACCTCTGTATAAATTTTATCACGGGCTGCTTTGTAAGCTTATCAGTTCGAGTGATTTTAAACTATATCTTTAAAAACTAGCAAACTTTAATACGGATGCTCGCCAACAGTCATTTTCGTAGTTTTAAGATTCTCTAATGCACCTAGCGTGAAAGAATTTTGTTGGGTTTCACGATGACGTCAAATCGCACGATTCAAACACGCCTGCCTGCACGCTTGTCAAATTTGAACTTTGTTCGCTGAATCAGAAATTGAATTAAACCTTTGTACTAACTGTGGCTGTTTCAGTTGGACGAATTCGCGTTGTTGTAATTACGTTCTCGCGTAATGTCGTGTTAATGGGAAAATTTTTAAGCTTGTTATGGTCCACACGTTTCAAATAATGCTTTTTGAAGCCCTAGAAATGTTATTTTAATGGACGTGTGGTGATAGCACACTGGTTCGTTCCGAAAGTTGCCAACTTTGATCTTCAGGAAGGTTCTACATGTATAATGTTTGCTACCAGAAGAAAGAAAAAAAACCTAAGAAAGGGACCTAAGGTATGTAACATTGTACATATTTTAAAGGCATATGTATCTCCCAAAAAGTTTTATCTGTTATTAAGCTTTATTCGAAAGCATGGTGGCACTTTTTTGTACGAATGCGTCAAGTTGTTGTTGTTGTTGTTTTAGACTTGAAAATCCGCGACGATAATTATCGGCTGTGGTTCGAACGTATTTGAACAACTTGTGACGCAGCAGTGTGCGAACTTTCTCTTTGGAGCTTAATTCTTGGTCGTTTTCTTCATGAAAAAAACATCGGTATTTTGACATTTGGTGCGCGCGGTGTTTAAAAGTTGTGTTTAGTAGTCTGAGTTCGAGATATTCTCTTTTACCCAGACTTCTATACCTTAGTGTGCCATTCCTTTGTACAGAGTATGACTAAGTTGAGCTTATTAATTAGATGATTCAGTCGGTCATTCATAAATTTCCGAATAACTTACTTCTTCTGGTGATTTTCCAAACCACGAACATGAAAATAGGTGTTACAAATGCCAGCGCGACGAACCATATTGGTGCGTAAAAGGAAAATATGCCTGTTCTGTTTTCACTGGTCTCAGCTGTTGAGTAGAGTGCAAAAACATAAAATGTCACAATCTAGAACATATTTGGAAAACATGAAAGTAATGTGAGCGTTGCATCAGATTACGTTGCAAATTCCAAATTCCTTCAAATTCTTATTAGTTGCATACAAAGCATTGGAAATTTCCTGATATTGTTTATATGTCAATATCGGTAAAAGGCAACATGTAGATTTTCTGCGAAAATGTATACTACATTTGCTTTGTGTAGAAGTAAACTGAGTTTTTTTTCTTGTCATCCATTCCTACTGCATTAACGCGCAAATACCTCTTTTGTTTCCGTAATATTATGCTTGACAATTGATACTTACCTTGTCTGGCAGTAGGCAGTTCTGTTGGAAGTTTTTCGGTTTTCCTTTTCGTGACGGTCGATTCTGCATGATTGAACGAAAAATCAGGATTAATCAGTTTTTTAATTCAACAAAACTGAATGTTTTCTCTTTCCATGTTTACATTTGGAGATATTTCCTTCCTGTTAAGACTTTGAACTCTAAGGGTGACCAGCATCTAATTTCTCCTTACGGTAATAATGCCGAATCACTCATTTGGATCACGATAGTGAGAGAATTAACCGCAAACAAACGAAGCTCTTAATCAAAACAAATTCAAACAAATTCTCCTTGTCAGCACCTCAGGAAATATAGAGAGAACAGTATAGAGAATGTGCATTCTGATTTTAATTATAAATTTAGTCATTCCCGTTAAAACTTACCTTGTTTTTTACTTGATAGGAGGGTAAAACTTGAAGTGGGTACCGTGGGCATCTTTGTTGAAATTTGCGCTATAGAACACAAACAACACGAATACGAAAGTCAAAGAAAAATCTGCGAGACGAATTTGCTAAAAATGTTTACAAATTTAGAATCGATCTCAATGACGGAATTGAAGAATACAAACGATTTTTCTCTTGAATGTGTAAAAGGCGCATCTTACGTGGCACTTGAGTATGATAAAAACTATATTTACCTTTAGGATTTTTTTCGGTTCTAAATTTCCTTCGCAACAGGGGGAAACTTTCGCCATATTTGTTCCATGCCGACACAGCCATCCAGTACATTTTGTCCCAGTCAAGTTCTAGGGTGTAACTCAGGTTGGTGGTATTCCACAAGCCTAACCTATCCTTAGTGTATGATTCAAGTCTTGCCACAAACCCCCAAACATAAACAGTGTACTTTAAAATGGCGCTTTGTCCATTATAAGGCTCCCTCCATTGCAGTGAGCATTGTTTTCCACTAACACTGATGTTTGTTACTAATGGTGCATCCGGCGGCCCTAACACAAAACAAATTGATGAGGGAAAAAGAGCGGTTGATGAGAAATTGTACATCTGTACATAGATGCAAATTTTAGCAATTTGGACAATAGTGGATTTACTCATAGGTTGTGAAACTTGAAGATAAACAGGATTTTAGAAAGTTGAAAGTAAGGGAGGAAATGAAGCCAAAAGAGGTGCCCATCGTCTAAGAGGGAGGCATCTATGGACATGCGTAAGACGGTTTTTATTGTACCTGCCAGTAGAGTCGTGGCACTAACATTGGATGGCTTTCCATAACCGACCTCGTTTCGCGCTTGTATTGCCACAAAATAAGTCCTGTTTTTCATCAATTTGTTTATCACCAACGATGTTTCCTTTACTTTCTTGTATTCCTGTACCAGTGTATTTGAAACATAGTCTACAACTTTTACGAGGTAATCATAAATCTTGATGCTGTTGTCTTCAATGGATGAAAACCAGGTTACGTTTAACGACAGTACATTTGGCACCACCACGACTTTGGGGGGCTTGGGTGGATCTAAAAGAATTAAATTGATGATGTATAATAATGGACGATGAGTAATATTTACAGACAGTAGATAATCAGTGACCGACTGGCCGACCGTCATCACCGTATGATGTGTGCGATCGAAGCAAATAAACAGCCAAACAATGGATGGACCAGTTACCTCATGCATAAGCGAACGATCAAGACAGAAAAAGGTCAAACTAACAACGCACTGACAGATAAGTCGCGAATGGTTCTATAGAGCTTTACCTGCTTCAAGTGTTTTAACAGTGACATTCGCGGCTTGTCCATAACCGGCAATATTTCTTGCTTGTAGCATCAATATGTATGTTCTGTTTTGTTGCAAATTTTTAAGAGTGAAGAATGTTCCCTTAATTCCACTATGTGTCTGAAGCATATGTCTGTTTACATCAAGCAGGGTAATCATAAACTCTATTGTGCGGCTGCTATTTTTGACTTTTGTCATATTCCATGTGATGTCGAATTTAAGCACGTCCGGTGTCACTTGGTATATGATAGGCGGACTGGGTGCATCTGAAATAAAAAGAAATAAGAAGTTTTATGAAAAAGAAATCTTACCAGTTTTACACATACTTAAGAATCAATCAATGCACTCTTATAAACTATCACAGGTCTATAACTTCATCGAATCAACAAGCCATCCTCCTTGCTTTTTCAATCACGAGGAAAAACTAGCTAAAAAAGATGCCCAGTCTCTCTTTCAATCCTATTCGCAAAACACGAATTTTGAACATTTTTCATAAGTATCTCAAAAGAAACTGCTACATTTTACTTACAAATTTGAAATATTCTCATATGATACCAGGCAGCTCCTTTGATGTTTGTCGCTCTACAGGAATACGAACCAAAATCGCCCGCAGTCTTAGGTCTCAGCGTTAGCGTGCCCATTTTATGCGCAGAGTTCACACCATGCACAATCCGTTGGCCATCTTTGAACCAAGTAAAGTTTGCCAGAGGCTCAGCATCTGCAGAGCACCTCAGGGTGGTCACCTTCCCAATCCATGATTGGAATAATGGCTTTGAAGAAGCTGTTTTGTTGATGCGAGGCTTATCTGAACATAGGGTAGGGAGGAAAAGTTTTCAATTGGTACTGTGTCTTGGGTTTTATCTGTGAGTTACATCTGAGAGTTTGCCACATTCGTGTGGCTGTCTTCACGTGCCACGATGGTATGTTTGATTTTTGAACGCCCTCGTCAGGGTTTCTCAATTTGAACCTTTAATAACTGACTCTCCGTGTCACTTCTTTTCTATAAGTTAACGACGATTTAGCTGAAATATGTTCTTTTTTTCCAGTCATTGCGACATTATGGTTTGATCATTGGTTTTGAAAGGTTCCAGCAAAGATTGAGATTGGTCTCACATTTTGAAAAGTAACATGACAAAAAAAGTGTTTCTCTACTTACATCGCACAACTCTAACTACCATGCTGTGAGACACAGACCCAGCTCGGTTTTTCGCGGTGCAGGTATAATTACCAGCATCTCTTTGTTGTAAATTTGGAATTTGAAGCACAGCAGATGAACTGCTGTTCTGAAGAGGAGTTCCATCTTTACTCCAAGTGATACTGGGTCTGGGGTCACCACTTGCGTTGCAGTGCAATCGTAGGTCATCTTCCTCATCGGCATTTACGTTCGCATTCGATCGACGGGTAAATTTTGGTGGGATAGGATCTTTGAAGTGAGAAGGAAAGAATTACAATTAAAAAGATTCGTGTAAGTGGAATGTTATGACATTTTTGGGCTTTGACAAGCTAAATTACCATTCGAAGGAAGGAACTTAGGCCTTGACTTAAAAGGATCATGTCATGTGTTGTGAGTCTTGTCATGTCTGACTAAGCCTGTTCCTGTACATCATTTACAATCCGTAATTATCTTCTCCACTCTCGGTCATCCTGGAACATGTTGGTTTGTTATTGCCTGTTGCATTATTTTATATCGCACCGAAATAACATTTCAAAAGTCTTTCTCAAGTTAAGGTGGTTTTTTTTACATCGAAAAATATTACTGAACTGAGATGACATAAAGCTTAACGCGCACTTCAAAAGCGCGCGAAATTAAAGGCAACACAGACGGTGATTAAGTCTTCCTCGTAATGGCTCTTACCATAAACGAATAGATTTATTGGACCACTCCTTGTATCGAGCCCATCCACTTTCACCGTGCATCCATATGTGGTCTGATCTGCTTTGCTCACATTTCTTAAAACGAACATTAGCTTACATCGATGCCGAGTAACATTTCCAATCCAACTAGTTCTGGATTTAATGGAAGTATCAAGTATGGGGTTGAACACTGCACTCTGCTTATTTACTGTGATATACTTGTTCCTGATATGATCATTTCCGTCTGTTTGTCCCCAAATAATCTGTCCAAGCAGTTTCCAGTCTTGAAAATCGCCAAAACTCAGTTCCCAATGGAAAGTGACATCAGATCCCTCAACTGCATATATTTTGGATGGAGGTTCCTTTGTAAACTTTGTCGCAGAATGAACTGAAAAAGGATTGAGTTGAGCTCGTTATTCAGATGAATGTACTTTAAGCATTAACGTTTACTGTCAAAAAGAATCAAAATCCAGAATCTCCAAGGTTCATGAGATCTTATTTCATGCTCCTGACTGATCTAATATCGCGTCTTCGACTCATTACAGCTTTTTTTGTCTTTTGATTCTTTTTATATAATGTGCGATATAATATTTTTCTCAACATATGATTTTCCGATTATTTTGCTATGATCAATTTTCAATAGATTGTTGAAGGTAGTAATGGATTGCAATGATTTTACTTTGCTCAGTGATTGGTCGACTTCAAAACTCAATTCTCATTCCCGACCAATCAGACGAAAAGCTTAAACAAATCCACTAGCCGCTTACGTATTCTCGCGCTTTAGGTGGTATACCTACTTGTTCATATTTCTTTTATGATTGGCTGAGATTACTTTGGTTCAGTTTTAACGACACTACCATAAAGAAAATAAAACTATATAATAGTTACTTACGGCCTGCGACGGCTGTGATGTGAAGGACACAGCAGAAGATAAGAACCGCAGCTCCTCGTAAAGACAACATCACTTTTCAGAGTCTTTATAAAACAAATTCAGATCCTAAAGGGAAAAGATCACACAACTTGAACATTGAAACCATGAGTTGACTGGGTGTGTATTTGTTTTTCGTCCCTCTGTTGGCTCGGTTATTTGTTCACCTATAGGTTGTTTTTTCCTTGTAGGCACCTCTATCTTGGAAGCAATACAGTGAGATTTGCTTTCACTGGTGGTAAACTCCTTCATTAACTCTATAAACATTTATTGAAGTTTCCAAGCATCTCTCATAATATTCACTCGGCAGTAATTACTCTTTTTGTTTACTAGAAAGTTTGATTGTTTTTACATGAGGTGACTTTGGTGTCACTGCAACAGTCGCGTGCCGGTGATAATTGACACGAATTTACTAAGGCATAAAATAAACACTTATTACATTCTTTCTGCAGATAAGCTAATTCTTGCTTTTCTCGCAGTGACATATTGCCGCTTAACGGCGTATGAAACTTATTGGCCTTTGATCAGTTTATCTCATTTTCACGCTTCATTCCCGATCCACGAAGATGACTTTCCAAGTGTTTAAGCCAATTAGGAACTTAAGTACATTTTGTGACCTGAGTTACCAGAAAGTTTGTCAAAATCTAGCCCCTCGCATAAGTGACTCTAAAAGTCCTAGGAAGACTGATGCGAGTGGCCCTCGATCACTACATAGATCTTAAGGTGATATTTCTCTCTGCGCATGAAAAAACTGATAAGCAGTAGCTGCCACGAAACTTAAATATTTCGTTGGAATTACATATTGTATGTATTTTCGAAATATCTTTTTCTTGCACAAAATCTACATCTTGTTAAGGATTTTATCCCAAACTCCATTCCGACTTGAAACCTTTTCAATTTGCAGCTCTTTACTCTGAATTCCGGGTCGCTTGCTGTTAGCTTGCCATGTGAACGAGCTAAAAATGGGTTGGTTATGATCTAATGAAATGCATTTAGCATATAATGAAAAAAACTATTAATCCTGTTGGTATCAAGGTGGAAACTGACGTAATGATAGGGAAAGATAACTGCGAGAGAACCATACCTGTTCCAGCCAAAAGCAGGAGAACCTCCTACCTGCGCGCTATTCAAAGCGACGCAAAGCTTAAGAGAGCTCTTTAAGTGAAATTATACAATGTACTGACAAACTTTGTCCTATTGGCACGCTATCATCGAATGACTAAAGAGCGAAAAATTTTTGCAGACAAGCAAATGATTAACTTGTCCTTACGATTCAATCTTTTCAGGCAAAATTATCAAGTGATCCAAGTTTGAAAAGAAACAGCTCTGCATTTAAAACAAGATAACCGATCCAAATCTAAAGGAAAATGGCTGTTTATGGCCTCTGGTGTTGATATGAAATTGCCTAGATTTTTCGAGAAGTACATTCGTGGAGTCCAATTTTCTTCAGTGTTTTTGGGGGTCTTCTAATTGAAAATCTATGAAGTGTTAAGTGCAGTTATTTGAGAAAACAAAGTTTTCTTGCCAAATAAGTTACACGCGTGTGCATGTCTTTTAACGCTTTTTATATTTCTGACCCAAGGTACTTGAAACTGTGCTAGCATCCATGGTGGTCTCATTGCGTGCAGCAAACAGAAATATGGATTCGTGCTAAAACTAAACATTACCAAAATTGTTCTAAATGAAAATGCGCATTAACGAAAAAACTAGGCAGAAAACGTAGAGCTTGTGTTTAAAGCATGCTGTTCCATAATAACAATCGTTTCGTGGAGTTCTTCGCATGCAGTTGGCCCCATCTAAAGAATTTATCGAAGACCAAAGCATGCCATTATGGACTGAAAAATTTGCTAGCAGTTGCAGTGGTGGAGAAAGACAAAATACTTACAGCCCAAGATTTAATACATACCTGATTTTAGTAGAATCAACACGGTGTTTGTATCTGTCTTAAGCAAATGATCTCCTCTTACAGGGACAAGATAAGATCGTTTTTCAGACAAGAAAACAGCGAAATGCAAGTTACATCTGACTAACGTCCGTGAAATATTCTCTTCGTGTCTCTATCGATTTTCTTCTTCCTTTTTTACTCAGACGGGTTGATGCCTTATAGAGACCTCAGCTCACAAAATCGATCTTTTGAGTTATTCACGTGTTCATACTTGGGCATGCACGCGACATCTCCATAAAAGCCAATCAAAGCCTTAAAATAACAGATTATGTAACAAGGGGAAACACACGACTTTAGCAAACTAAAGAAGAGCTCTCGTAAACTCGACACGCGAGCCTTTTTGAAAAACACTCCATTGTGACAGTAAATGCAGCAATTGGCAGGCAAAGAGACCACTTGCTTTATACATATATTAAATGACCTTTCAATATCCTAACCCTACAGAAGCGTTTTATAAATTTACTTCCTCTGTGTGTACGATGTTTGTTCAAACTAAAGACCTTGCGCAGGAACATAATGTGTATGAGAAGGAACTGTTCAGAAATCTTATAGCGAATATCGTTGTAACCTTGATCACTTTTTGACTACGTCTGACGTTTTCCTCTCAAGAGGAAACACCACTCTGTTTGCTGAGCTTTTCTTCGTCTTTTTCTTTTAAGTTCGAGAAAGGGTGTGGATTGAAGATACTTGCTGATTCGAAAGAAAAAATACGGTTTTGACTACCCCACACAGTGTGAAATACGGCTGAAAGTTTTAAAACCCCACGTACATCAACTATGATCTCACTGCGAAAGCGTGCGGAACTCGTAAAAGAAAAACAGCTTAGTTTCTTTCATCTTAGCAAAACAAATAGCGGTTTACTCGCCAAAAAAAATGTCTAATGATTTGTATTATCTCACACGACTTAAACGTTCAGAGCACAGCGTTGGTGCAGATGTGGTTATCATAACCGAGATGCAGGCACTCTATAGAACTAGAGTTACCTTTTCGACCCAGCCTCCTGTTCCTTACATAAAACTCTTCTGCGATTTATGCTGTCTTTTTGAGCGAGAGTCTAGTTGGAAAAAAACTTGCTCATTTTTGGAAATATATCTCCTTGTTTACTCACTGATCAGGAAGTTGACTCGATTGTGATTTTGCCTATATCACTTTCGTCAGCTTCAATGCTTAGGATTATCTATAAACATGATTCTTGAAAAGCTCGAAAGCTTAAAATAACCTGTTTACCATGTTACTAGAATGTACAGTCTGTGGAACCGAAGATTTCTATTTGTTTCGGCGAACACTGCTTTTGACTTCCGGTATTTTGTGATAAGCTCATCTCCTCTCCACGAACAAGCGGTGTTTTCCTTTTAATGATTCTAGAGATTTCCTGTAACTGTGTCAGGTACAGGGATTTTTTTTCTTCGAGTTGGCCAATTAGACATAAAAAGTTACATTGTCCACCATTTTTCTTCACAAGGTTTATTTCCATTGGGCATATTCTTCTCTTTTTTTATGTCGCGACAGCGTTAGCTTTTCCGGATTCAAGTAATTATGACAAATATTTTTTCCGAGCGCCTTCATGTTCCAGTAAATTACCTTGAACACTAGTAACTATCTCAGCGCGCGTTCGCATTGAATTGGTTTGTAGCAGCAGATTCTAAGCATTTTGCAGCCTCTATCACTTCACTTTTGCAACCAATTTTCCTCTCATGAATACCCGTGGGATAATAAACCCAAAGGACATAGACCAGGATTAAGTCGTCGGGTACGGAAATCGTTATGACTTGGCAGAAAATGCCTCCGTATGTATATAATTTATACTGCTAAAACGTTGTTTAGACGGTAGGCCAGTTGGGAATGTGTAGAAATTTACAATATTTTCAGCCCGAAATGGTTGCAGTGTTATGCAACATCACTATCTCATCACATTAATAAATTCACGGAGCCCACTAATAAAAGGAAACTGATGCAACAAAAGCTCATCGATACTAAATTAACTCAGTTCCTGACCATCTAACGCTTTTTCTTGTGTCTTAAGGAACAACCATAATATTCGATTCCCAGCTTTACAACAACATCATCGCTTTTTCACACACCGCAAAGCGTTCAGCAGTTTTCACATACCTTTTGCTCGCTTTATATGAATTGTGGCCACGTTGATAAATGTAGAGGCATATGAGAAATAAAGAGTAGCTTTCACTTACACCCAATAGTGGTGCGGTTTGTTGCGTGCGATCTTGTTGTTTCTGGTGGGATGAGTAGAAGGCGGGTACAGATCGTCTTACCACAGCGAAAACACGTTTAACAAGTTGGACTACTCATTTCCATCAAGATCTGTCGCTTACGAAAGAGGTTTCAAATAGCAAAATGCTATAATGTTACTCATTCTACCTGTGATTGGTTTAATCAACGTCGCCACAGCGGGCATTTCTGCGAAGCGACCTAACTTCTTCAATTACCGTCTTAAAGTCAACAAATCGTACTGATATGTTTTTTACAAATGCAGACCTGACCAAAATCCTTAAGTTTCTTGGTCCTCTTCCTGTTTTCCGTTAATTTTCTTTTCTTCCTGTTCCTGTAGTGCAAGGTATGTTCGTTTTGCTGTTTCTTGCCAAACTTTCTGGAACGTATAGTAGGAGCACTCATCTTGTTTTTGAATCACAAATTAAAATTACGGAGTTTTGGATTAGATTTTTAAGGTGTCTCTTTTTGTAACTGATCCTCCAGTGCCTTGGGAGACTGAAGATAGACATCTTCAGAAAACACGATTCATCTTAAGAAGCAACTTAAGAACATTTCAGTATAGTGTTTCCTTTAACTGACATTACAGTCAATCAGGATCAGTTTTGCCGCATGTGCTTATGATGCAAACTCTAGGTGTTAGTAATCAGTGATTAGTGAGATCGAAGGGTACGTGATGGCCACTAGTCGTGTATTGTCTATACTCCATAGCAATCGATAAATAATCGCACACAAAATCTTTTGAAACATCGTTGATCGAATTAATTACCCATTAAGCCATCTTACCTTCATGATCATATCTTGAATCACTGATTTAGTGGTTGTCAACCCAGTAGACAATTTTCGCATTTAACAAGATTGCACTTAAATTGTGTGTTGAAATTAGGTTACAAATTGCAATTGAGAGACAAGGGAGTGCACTCAGAACAGCTGATTATACCTCTTGCAATCCCAAGAGGACAACACTGTTCAGGAAAGCCGTAAGAACACATCGGAGTCAAAGTGTAAAGGAGAAATCGTTCGTTTCACAACAATTTTGCTACCAAACTTCGTCTTCAACATAGGAGACAACGAAAATAACCAGCACCAATTTCCTTTATAAACCTAATAATCATTTTATATAGGCGTGAAATGATCAACTAATGTGATTAGCGTGGAACTGCCACACACCAAATAGTCTTAGACGTGAAAGTTTCAGCATTATCCCTCCGTCTTAAACAGTCAGCGAAATGATGTGCCAACCTTGCTCGAATATCTCGCCCTTGCTAATTACTATTGAAGATTCTCTTTCAAGTTTTGAAACGAAGCCGAAAAAATACATTTGCCTGAATGTCGGACCACTCAGCGTGTTCAGCCTACTGTAAAAACACATGTTTACCGTTTTCCTACCTGTTAGAAAAATAAACACTTAATTCTAGCTTTCTTTCTATCATAGTAACATGAAGAGTACTTACTCAGTTAATAACAACCGTGTCCTTCAGGACTCGATTGTTTCGGTCCCTTACTTCTTCGTAACACCGTGTAAAGTGTAATGTTATCCAAGGTGGAAGAAATTACTTTGATTTCAGTGGAGAACGAATCATTAGGCACCGAAATCGTTTGGAAGCAGGGAAAGTTGCTCAGTGAAACACAACACGAGTAAAATGCCGACTTTTCTTTGTCTATCAAATTGCTTAGAAAGTCTTAAACTCTTTATGAACATAAGACACATTTTTCTTGTTATAATCTGCTGCAAGTAAGGGTTATTCTAGATCTAAAAAAAAACAGTTCTTACGTGTAATCTCCCGTGGACAAAAGAAAACAATCAGTAAGTTACTTACTGTGAGGCTGAGATCGTTTTTCTTTGTTTTTTTCTCTTTTTTGTTTCTATTTGTTGTTTTTGTTTCTTTGTTTCTTGTTCTTTTATCATTCCTTAATCAATCGTATCACACTTGCTGTCATTTGTTGCTTGGTTTTTCTTGGAACTAATTCCCTTTTGCCACACTTTAGTCTTATCAACCTTCTTAATGTGTAAAATGTCAACAGATTTCGAAGGTAGGCAGTCTTTTGGTTTAACAGGCTAACCACTTACGATGTTTAACTGCATTCAACAGTTTGGACAAAATCAAGAATTTTGAAAGGAATTTATTATGGTGTAGCCAAGCTTGTAAACTTGAGTTAGCAGCATAAGTGTTTATTGAAAAAAGAATACCGATAGACTTGTGAGTCGAGACATGGGCAAAAAGTATTTCAAATATAAGATGAATGAGTAAGAAACTTGTGATTAAACTCCTAGACCAACGAAAACTTGAAGCGCTCAATTCGTTACCTTTGTTTAGAAAGCGTTCTAACCAACATCCAGCGACGATGACCCCGGATATTTCTTGCACTGAAATTGGCCATAACCAACGAGCAGACTTCCTCATTGTTTTTGCACTTATCAACTGTCTGTCATTGTATGCTATTTAGGACTAAGAACTTTTTGGCCTCATAAAAAAAACAAGTAGTTATTTTGGGTTGTTTTTTCATTCGAAGACTTTGCTTTTTGACGTCACACATTTTGCTCATCAAAAGTGATCGACCCTATCTGGCAATGCAAAGCAGTGTAGGCAAATGAACGATCATCAAAACTTACCTTTTTCGAAATAAGAAAACGTCAGAAGTGGGATGGATTTTTAAAGAAATCAAATCCCAGATATAATTTGTTTTGCCTTCAAACTGATTTGCTCGCCATTCATTTACGTTCGCTCTTGTTCCTTTTTGTCATGTGCTGACTCCTTTAAAACCCGGGGCCTGGCAACCGAACACAAACTGTCATCATTTCAAGTTAATAAACTCTAAACCTCTGTGCTGTGACGTTAGTCGGAAAGGATTCTTCATGCCAGTTTTGTGCTTCGTCATGGCGATCTTGGAGGTGGAAGCCACAATCGGAAATGTTACTCCTTAATTAATGGCTTGATCTTTCAACTAAGCTTTTGATTACAATGACAGCTACACGTTTCGGTGTTTTTTTTTTTTTCGCAATTGCACTTGCGAGGACTTCCTTTGTTAAACAAAGACAGCTCTGTCAAATTTAATTGCCCTTGATTTACATGTGCATGATCGTAGCTAGGGTGTCAAAATTCATACAACACGACGATGATGTAATTTTGATAATAGAACTCCATTAAGGAAAGAAAAAAAGTAATGCACGGTCTTGCAACAGTACTTAGGACCCTCTTACACTGCGCTTACGCGAAACGTTATGGAAACAGAATATCATGTTGTTAGGGTTATCAGTAATATTACTTCTGGACGTATTGAATAACCGGCAAAATTATTTCGCAAACGGGCAGCGACCACTCAGCTGCCTCTGAGTTAGCTAATGCATTTACGCATGTTAAATAATATTTTCATTGGCTCCTACTCTACGAAGAGCATCTACCGCACCAAACTATGTTGATCTCAAGTTTCCTCCCACACAACATCATAAGTGTTGAAAGCCTCTCCTGAACAAAATGTAAATCACAATTGAAGGTCAAATTACGAAAGAAACTTTACGACAACGCAACATACTAGAAAGATCTAGGTTAGGACCTTGTAACCGGTGTAAAAAAACAGCATGATTTGGTGACCAGATTTAACGAGCGTAAACGACTCATGACATTTTGGAAACTTCATGACTCAGGCAAGAAAAGCTCTTAAAAATGTGAAAAAGCACTTAATTAGCTAAATTCAGTGAATGGCAAAAGGGTGGAAAACATCAGTTCATCGATGACAGGGTACTGTGATACTGGATCATAAATAGAGAATTCAGGCTTCATGTTTCACGCATAAGTAAATTCCTCTTTTTTTATCTCAACGCACGTTTATCACTTGCCCATGATTGGAAACTCCTTAGGGTAACTAAATACTTACAAAGGTCGTCCCATGGTGTTATGGCTAAATATGTTTTTTTCAGCGCGAGGAGAAAAAAATCAAAGAGCGAACTGAAACAAGTGAGCTATCCACACAGAAGCTATAGCAAAAAAAAAAAGATAACATCCCAATAACTTTTTGAGCCCTGCATTCGAATTTTAGAGTTTTTGTTGTTTTCCCTTCACAAAATTCATGGTAAATGCAACAACAGACCAACTGGTGGTGATGAAAAGGAAAAAAAAACGGATATAACAATACTTTTCCTAGCTGGAGGTCTCTGGTTGACACACACTAACCTTTTACCATTGGTCTAACGCCGTTTAAAGTACTCTTTCCAGAGCTATAAAAGCGCGTTAGGTTAGTAGCTAGACTAAACTATCCCTTATCTGTATACATAGCAGTTTTTCAAAAGCATCCCGAAAAGCAAAGTCGCTCATCTGCCGGTGAAGCCGCTTCAAATTCCATTAAATAATTATTTGCTGCATATGCAAAATGAAAAAAACACAAGGCAGGAACTCTTCCAGCACCCCACCGTGTTTTAACGAGCTTTTTCATAAATGGGAAAGTTTTCTTTGTTAAGGAAATGGAAGATGATGAAGGTACTTTTCCTTAACAAGAATAAACGGTATTAAAGTCGAAGGGACAGCAAATTTAGGAAAAAAAATATAACCAAAGTGGAACGAAAGAGAGGACATATTTAGGGTGGCATGTTTTTTTCCATGAAAGAATTCACCAGATATTTCCATCAAACCGGTTTGTCCCGTGCACCAGTAAAAGGCTGCGGTTTGGACCGGACGTGATATTCGTCCTTGAACTAAAAATCTTTACTTGTTCCTTGGTTGCAATGACAAAAACAAAAAGGAGAAAGTTGTGGGAAAATGTTTACTTTCTTTGAGAGTTCACCTTATGAGCGTGGAATACTATTCGATAAACGTCGCTACGTTTCCCGAAAAGAAAAGCGGGATGGAATGGGGAACAAATCCCATCAGAAGTCACTCACACGAGAATCGGCCTCTCGCAATGTGCATACTTGAGGCACACGCAAATATGTGATCGAATATCTTGCTGGATTTCAACATACATTTACTGATTTTCATCTGTAAGCACGGCTGAACGTTTAGGTAGTAAAAATTTTAAAAAAATGCGTAGGGGAACTTATGAGAGGGGTAGAGTTGTCGCCCCAGTCCTATCTCTCCTCCTCCCTAGAAAATCATGTCAGTTATAACCAGATTGCCTTGAAAAACCAGTTTTACCAGTATTCATTTGCTTACACAACAGTTATTTCCGGTATTAAAAGAATTAGCTCTTTGCTTACTGGCGCTGTTTTCTATAACTCTGTTTCGGAAATAAGTGGCAAATCTCTAGTAACCCTTTGTTATTAATGCCTTTCACTCCTGACCCAGTCAACGAGTTGATTTATTGCTAGTCGCAACATATACGCACTAGTCATGCGACACGTTTACAGACTTAAAGCAATCTTCTGTTCGCAACCTTTGCCGCGCTCAGTTTACATTCATATTTCATTACCCTTGGGCAGTCTTTTGTACATTGATATGCTTTTTCTAGCGACGCAGTTTCATGTCGCAAGCTTAATCGACAGTGTTATAGCTGGATAACGACGTTTGAAATATTCTGTTTCCTAGAATGGTCTTTAATAATTTGGATGACGATATCCTCGAGGGCAGCAATGGAGGTCATGCGCACGGCATGCCATCACATATTGAGCAATAGAAAAACGGATCTTAGACCGGCAATGCTTTCCTAACAGACAGTGTTTCCAAGTGGGCCCTCTTCATTCGCAAACGAATCCAAACATTTAATACAAAAATATCAGACAACTTACCTTTAAGAATTAGCTTTACAGGCAAAGTACCTCGTCGTTGCTGTTTCCTCGTTGATCAAAAGGCAGCCACGTTTCACCTAAGCTTGTCGTACAGAGGCAAAATTGTTACCCGAAACGAAATCCTGCGACAATTATAGGCTTCCTTTTTGTCCTGGGTTTTAAATTGAGGGAGGGGGAGGATTTTGTTCGGTACAGAATCGATCATTAACAACCAAGGCCGAATTCAGAGTGTTGTTGGACCAATAGTGCGTGATTATTTGTGGGAGTTGTTGGAGGCGGGGCCTCATCATATTACAATAAACAAAGTAGAAAGCATGCGCAAGTCGTCTGAATCGATCCTTTTGCCAACAGCATTTCCGCAGGAAAAAATTTACATATAATCTTTTACACGCGATTTTTTTACTGCGTAGTACCTTTTCATTACTGAGTACATGATAATTATCAACAGAGACATGTAGATTAATCGAAAATTATTATCCTTCCAACCTTCAACCTTACTGTTTTTAAACCTTGGCATTCGACATTAACTGATCTTCAAGGTAAATAGGACGACACAGCGGAAACGTCATATTAAAATACTTTTTAAAAAAAAATGGTGTGACTATCGAATGAAAAGCTTTTATTAGCTATCAAGGAAGGGAGAAAAGATTGTTTGGTGATCGCGTAGTTTTTGGACTATACCGTAAAAATAGAGCGAATGAAATAGGGTCCAGCTCTAATTGAAAGCGTGATCCTTTCTGCTTATCTTCATATGTGAGATGTTTTGCATTCAAGTGGGATAAACGATAAATTTATTGACAAGCTCGGCGGGAAGTTGGACGACGGATTCTCGTAAAGGAAGATTTAATTCGCTGTTTCACTCGCCAGGCTTGAAAAGGAAACAATTTCACTCACCAAGTAGGAACAAGAAGAGCCTGGCACAGGAAGTATTTACCGGGGATTTAGAACGTGCAAGTTGGCACAGACGTCACAGAGAAAAACTAATATCGTTCTGTCTTGGCGGTGGAACAAGGAATTTAACTTTTGTAGAGAATTTTGCCGATCAAGGACGCCTGTTGCGAAGCGCTATTTTGTTAGACGATGTTGCTCAAAATGAGTCAAGGCCAGGGTCACTTGTGCTATATTTCTTCTTTTGTGCTGAGTTTGTAACAATGGGTCTTTTATAAAATTCTCTAACGCACGTGATGGGTCGATCTTCCTTTTTCCTTACGTGACCATTCGGGACCTCAGAGTCATGCTTGCCTGATATAGGATGGACTCACTCGGTTGTTCATTCCGTTATCCATCCATACAAGCCGCTATCCATCAGCCCTGTATTGGTTCGTCCGTTTGGTAGTTCGTCCTTTTGTCAACTCGCTCTGCTCACTTATTTATTTTGATTGAGGTAGTCATTCCTCTGCGTGTTTCTTGGTTCTTAACTTAATTGGCGTCGTTTAATAAGAAAACTAGGACTTAACAAAGTTTTGTCAGGCCTTTACTACTTGTAAATCTTGTTGTTAATTAGTAAGGGACTTTTTACCGATAGCGAACTTGATTCGTCTCCTCCCCGCTCCCGCCCCCTTTTCCGCCCTCATCCCATCTCAAGGCATCCCCAGGGGTTTTTCGTATTCTTGTGTTACCCCGTTTTAACATTTCATATGCCTGTATCCCTATTCTAACTTGGGTGGGCTTTGTTGTGCCCGAAAACAATTCCAGCGTCATCGAGGATCCGACAACGCATTTCCCAAAAGACTAACAAACAGACCCCCACGATTAAACTAAGGATAAGGAGACATTAGGTTTCTAGGTTTCGGTGAAAAGAAAACGCGTACTTTTTTTATCCACTAATGCAATTTGTTTCCAGTATGAACTGATATCTCTAAGACATCGATCAAACAAGCTAGAGCGTAAAGCCGAGTATTAATTAACGGCTTAGTATTTAGAGTTTTGGCATGCTAGAAAACCTCACGAGTTTACCAAGAGAGCTGGCAATAAGCCTGTTAGTCCGTGGATAAACTCAACAAATCTAATTTCTCCTATCGTTTGGCATGTGGTGTTATTGTAGCTTGCAATTTTAGGAAACGTTTTCTCAGCTCACGTATCTGACTAGTTGTTGCAATGATTCTTTTGCAAGGGAAGCCATACTTGACCCGTAAATTATTTTAGTGTATCACATGTTCTTTTTCTTCTCTGCGCAACAACGGAAATATTTAGGTTACGAATTTTTCGATCATCAAAAATTAACGAAATGTGGATTTGCGAATTTTGAGTTGCGCGGGTGTGAAAACTGTAGCCATTAAAGATTGATTCAAGGGAGTTTTGCCCGAGGTACTTTTTTTGCTAGAGAAGCCGAAACTTCTAAAGTGGTGACATGTGCCACACGCGTAGCAATAAATCATCCCAGGCATTCCTGGAGTGTATTTTTGTTATTCTCATTATCGTTGGTGAGTTTGTTGTTGTAATGGTTGCTTTAAGTTTCAATGAAATGTCTAACCCGTTACAAAGGATGATGTTCTCGAACTGAGCTCTGTAGGAATGCGGAATTCTCACTAAGGTTTGGCGCACGTTGTAAATTACTCCCCAGGGGATTTAATTTAAAACCAGTCGATGCATGGTAAGCATTCTGCTCACGAAAAAAACATGATGTTAAGACCTCATCACGCACTATTTGGTATGCGTGAGCACCAAAAATAGAAACTGGAAAAACTATTTCTGGTTACGCCATAATTTCTGCTCTGAAACTCAAAGAAGCGGGGAGGAAACACAAGTTATTTATCTTTCAGACTGAGGACAACAAATGCTTAAAAAATTGTTATTATTGCTAATGAAAGCCTCTCCGGCCGGAAAGACATAGATCCGTATAAAAGATGTTTTATGACAATCCAAGGGTAGACTAAAATAAATGCGACGTAATCCCTGATTATATAAAGTCATTGTATTAAAACGCCCTCTCAGCCGGAAAGATAGATCTTAGCTCAGACAAATTTAGAAGACAGCTACATTTACAAAAAAAAAAAGAAAAGAAAGCTTATGTACGGTTCGGCCAGTGCGATGTGATCCGTCCGAACTGTTAGTTATCAATGATGTTGTTGTTGTCTCTTATCAGTTATTACAGACGTAATTGATGCCAAAGCTATCGATATTTCCCGAGGGATAATGAATGCGCTCTATTGTGTACATATCAAGCATGCTCTTGTCGTGGCTAGAAAAGAAAGGGACAATTCTTGAGAGGAACTTTGAATCCAACAACGAATGAGAACCGAAAGTTATCAAAATAAGTTTGTGCTAGCCATATAGGCAAGATCGCTCGCATGCTTAATCCTTTTCCTCGCCATACCTGCGTGGCTCATTTACCAGTGCCATCTTCACTTGCTTCACGCCGGCGAGATTCATTTTGTCCTTTGTTCAAGTGCACTTGTACGGTTAACCCTGTTCTTCTATAGGAACCAGAATTACCGATTCAATGTTACTCTTAAGCTAGCTTGGCAGATATCCCTGGGATTTGAGTCCATTTTTGACCCCTGAGTTATCTTTTTAAGTGGAGAGTACATGACAGCCCTAATAATTGGGACTATCCCTACTGGGAAACATTTAATCCTTTACATACTAACGTCAGTATGCATATTCTCCGTACTGTTCTCATTGCATTTCCTGAGGTGCTGATAAGGAGAATTTGTTTAACCATCAAGAGCTTCTTTCGTTGCGGATCATTTCCTTTATTCTCATGATCTTATAAGTGATTCTGGAGGGTTATTGTAAGGAGAAATTGTGTGTTAGTCAATCGTAGGGATAAAAGGTTGAAAAGGAACGTAACACCCATCAGCTAATTATCTTTTCAGATTAGGAAAATGGCTCACCAACTACGAACTACCATTTATCTTGTTTTCTCACAGATAGTGAAGCTTCATTTTCTTAATATAAATACACACACAATCCACAATACCTCCATTCGCTTTGACGAAGGGCTAAAGCGCGATACGTCAGCTTTGAAACTCTTTACAGGGACTGACACCTACTACATTTTGAGATTATGATTTATTTGCCATATCAATTATCATGTATGTGGTAGCATTTGAGGATACTGATAACAGGCTGCTTGCTCTACATCACTGAAACAGTAAACATTGCATGCTCGCATTTCATGCAAGGCATAATCATTTATCTAGCTTGAAAGTTGAAAAAACGTTACATCTCACCAAACAAAAATCAATTCGTACTCAATAGGCATCAAAGTCGGCGAGCAATTGTGCATGTTGTTCATTCCCATATTCTGGTTCGTTTATATTTATCAATTTATTTTCCCCACTTGTTCTAGAACCTTTGCAAAACTTTGAATATCTTGGAAAAGACTTGTATCTTTATGAAAATATTATCATTCTATAAATGTTGAAAATGGAGGCACCGAGTCAAGAGTTAACTTATGTCACCTAAAGCAAAACTTAAGGTTGTTGTTTAAAAAAATTGCTGTGATAACTTGATATGTCAAGTGATAACGATACGGTGCTTAAAAATGCAAGGGTTTGTTTTTTATCAGTAGCTGTTATACAATGAAACACTGATCCAACGAAACACAATTGCTGTTAAGTTTCAAGGAGCTTCTTTGAGAAACACAAAAATATCAACAGAACGGGATAAGATATTGATTTGAGATAATATTCTGCATCTACTTTAACACGGACCACGCAGCTCAATTAAAAAAAAGCATTTAAACTCATATGGTAGCAGCGAAATGTGTGACAGAGTGGTTTTCTGTTTTGGTCGTTTTTTTTTCTTTTTTTCTTTTTCGCCTTGCAGATAGAAAATAAAGATAAGGAAGCAGTCATTATTTATCTCCAGAGGAAAAGGTTTGGAAATTTTGGGGGTTATCCCATGGTTCTCTGGGGAAAAGGAAGGGGATCACTCGTCGTCAACATATTAGTATAAAAGGGGGGGGGGGACTTTTACAAATTTACTGCCAGTGAGGGGGGAAGGGAAATAAGAAATTGCAGAGCCTTAACGGTGATCAGGTACATTTTATGGTAACACAAACCAGAATCCTCCAAATCCTCCCCCCCTCCCCTTCTTCTCCTCAGGCGATGAAAAATGACTGGTCCCTGAGAAAAGAGCGCAAATCACACATGCCTGGTTTAGCGGCAAACCGACAATTTGATGTTTCTGAATGCATATGAATAAATGCTCTATGTTTTATTCACTTTAAAACGAATACTTGCTAGTCCCACATCGTTTCCAGCATAGCACCAGTAAATTCCAAAGTCGTCATCTTTTTTAGGCGTGAATGTCAGTTTACTTAGGTTTTCTGTAGAGTTCACACCGACTGAGACCTTTGCGCCTTCTCTGATCCACGCGAACACTGCCGGAGGTTTGGCATCAACTGCGCATGTCAGAGTAATGTTTTGACCAACTCTTGTTTGAACAGTAAGATTTGAACTAGCATTCTGGTTGTGGTACGGTTTATCTAGTAAATATAATAAATGAAGCAGGATTAGTGAAACTTCACACGATGGCGCTACCTTCTCTCCTTCTGAGGCGAATTGGAAAATGGCGTGTGGGTCTTAGTGGACTTTTTTTGAGGGAGAAAAAAAAAGAGGATATCTCAAACTGAAGCTAAGGAACGAAAACGAGAACTTATATTGTCTCAACCCTCAAGGATCATTGGGTTCATAACTTTAAACCACAAATCACGGTTGAGATGCGGGCGCCCATCTATGCCCATAACTCCCCAATATACCCGAGCTAAAACAAGGTAGCAAGGAGTAAAAACGAGAACCAATATTGGCTCCACCCTCAAGTAACATTGGGTCCATAACTTTAACCCACAAATCACGGATGAGATGCAGGCGCCCGTCTATGCCCAAAACTGCCCAATATCCCCGAGCTAAAACAAGGTATTATAGGAGAGAGCTGTCCATCACTTTAACTAGCTAATATATAGTATTATCAGTATTATCGATAAATGAAATGATTATTTTTTTTTTAGTATCCAACGAACTTGTTGAAAGATTTCCACTTATTATTATGACTAGATGGACATTATTTTGATATCTTCCTTTCCTGTACCCTTAATTTTCCTTGTTGTTTGCTATGCAATACTTATGATGTCAGTTCTGAAAATTTGGTGTCAGATCAACTAATAATCCTCGAATGATATTTTTCCTTATTCTGGTCACTTTTCTACTTGATATCGTAAAGTGATATTCTGTCTTTGTTGTGAAAGGGTCGCTCTCCCGCTTAGCTGAACCCTTTAACTCCCAAGATCTGATTGTTAACTCTTCTCTTTAGCTGCTTCACATTTCCTTGTAAAGTAACTAGGACAATTTGGTGTTAGATCGAGGAAACAACTTTTTCCTAATTAGTTTGAGTATTCTCATTATCTGCTTGCTGGAGAATGTATGGGTATTATAGGGAGAAGTAAAATGTTGATCACTTCTGGGTTAACTAGGGCCAATGATGAAGCATTTACGGCACCCGTTCAATTGCCAAACGCCAAACCGAGTCTATGTTCACGGGAGAGGCCTTTTACGTTACCCAAAAGTTGACCGCTTAAAACAAATTCTAACTTAATCTCATGATAACAGAATTCTATGCCATCCTGCGCGGGAAAAAGCCAACAGCACTCTTTGGTGTACTTACAGCGCACGACCCTGACTAAGAAACCTTCCGACACGTTACCAGCTAGGTTCGTAGCCGTACAGTTGTAGGTACCAGCTTGGCTCCGCTGGATGCCTGAAATTCTGAGCACTGTGGCTTTGTTGGGCAATATCCTACCATTGTGCATCCACAATATACTCGGCACAGGGTTCCCAGTTGCTTTACAGTTCAACTCTACCGTTTGTCCTTCTACACTATCTATAGTCCGGTTCGATCGACGAACGAGTTTTGGTGGATCTGTGAACATGAACGCAGAAAATATTCAATTCTGTGACATACTGTAGCGTTTCTGAAGTGAATATTCATACTCCGATGGGATAATCATAAATTATTTCCTTAATAACCTTACTAAGTGCTTATCTAACCGCATTAAGTGATTGACTTTTAGAGTAATGAACAATAAGTATCGACCATGAAAAATTAAGACTCAAATAAATTTGGTTTAAAAGTGAGTCGCCTAATCCTAACGGTTACAATGCACGCTGGACTCCGCTTCAAGAGGTCCGAGTCCGAGCGCTAACTGGATTTTTTAGTCGTGTTCTCGGTCAAAGCACTTAGCTCCTGTCATGACCCTCTTCACTCAAGGGTATAGATTCCCAAACGCCCTTCCCCCCACCCGTTTATGCAGAGGGAGAAGATATTATCTTAGTCGCTTAAGCTTTTGGAACTGAGATAACTTCACGCGGCAAGGATCCCTTGACACATTTGCAATACTAAGGCATATACAATATACCGTCGGAGCCAAAATATTACGACTTGGCATCGCTGAAAAGAACCTTTAGAAAAAGTGAGATCAATTTCTCTCGTGAATGCTTGTGATCCACCTCCCCCAAAAACAAACTCAGGCTCATATCTGCGTATACCCATATGAGGCTTCTGTTATGGTGAAATCAGGAGACGGACATGAAAATTCGATAAGTACACTTATGTGTATTTGCAATGTGAAACACATTTAAAAAGCATTCGGAAAGCATGTAAAAAAATGTCAACCCGTCCAAACAGTGTTACCCCATGCCTTTCAACTAGTACTTGAAATCTGCATGCAAAAAGAAAAAGAAACACTAACACTCAGGCATGCGTCTCAGGACCTTCTTTTTTTTCTTGAAAAGTTTTTAAACTCTGGCCTCCTGAGGAGATTCTAAGTAATAACTATGAGTGCTACTTCCAAAATTTGATTGGGAATAATAAGTTAATTCTTGAGACAGAATATTCTGCTTGCACTTACCAAGGACGATAAGTCTTATTGGACTACTTTTGAAGGTCTCCCCGTACACTACCCCTATACAACCATACGTTCCGTCATCTGTGTAAATCGCATTTTTCAAGAGAAAATCTAGCTGACATCTTTCGCGGCTTAGTGTACCGGACCACACAGCTCTGGAGATGACAGAGCCTGGTACTTTTGGGTTGGACCACACATTTTCTTTGCTATCAACCGTAAGGAATTTGTTGCCAATATTGCCATAATTATCGGTCTCTGCTCCCCAAAAGACTTGCTCAAAGTTAGTCCAGTCCTCCTCGCTGCCGAAATTGCATTCCCATCGGAAAGTGGCGTTGGATCCCAAGTCAACGAACAGGGTTTTTTCTGGCTCCTTCATAAACTTTGTCTCTGTATGAACTAGACAAAAATAAGCATATGTTATTTAAGGCTTCTCTTTCGTAGTGCAGCTAACAACGTGGGTCAACTTCTAAGTACATTCAACGTCGCTTCTCTCTGTGCCGTAATGGCATCAGGTGTTTTTCAGCTAATTTCAGTATAATCCCCATATTTTGCTTTAGAAAGAAGCGATTAAGGGTGTTGCCACTCCCGTAGATGGGGCGCCAGTCCATTGCGGGTAACCCCTGATATTTTGCCGTTACTCATTTATACTCCCAGGGAGTGTCTTGCCAAAAAACAAGGGCGTGGCTAAGGATGGGGGGGGGGTCCTTGGGGTGCCCGTGACTCACCCACCTTTGTGAGTCTTTTTTTGTCACATTCAGTAAAATACGGCGTCGAGGTCGACATGACAATCTGTTGAGTACACTTTGTTTGACACAGTATGACCTCCTCCCCCTTTGAAAAATCTTGGCTACGCCCCTAAGCAACATAACCTGATGACCCCACAAAGAGTCAATACCAGATTTATCGACTAGGAGTCCAGCCACCTTGTTTCCCATAACTCTACTCGAACTGAGGGTTACAGATATCTCTGCAGCTGCTTACAGATTCTACGTGTCTGTAACACATATTTTCTTTTCATTTTCCTTAGCTCCAACAACTGAAAACGTAAATAATGAATCGCGAGGGTGACTTACGGCCGGCAGTCAGGGTATGGTGAAGGATACAGCTCAACAAGACTGTTGCTACTTTAATGATCGCCATCACTTTAAATCCAATTTTGGTGGACAGAAAATCTATATCAACCTGGAAAGAAGAAACGGAACGGCCACACACATAAGTGACTGTATGTAATTACTTTAAAGCTGTTTAAGCACTGCAGTAGGCTGCACACTACTGACGCATGACAGGAGCCCATAGTAATGTGCTTTTGCGCATGATGATTAGAACATCATTTTCCAAAAGGGATTTCCTTTCCCAATGATATACTATCTTTTTCATGAAAATATCATAAAGCTATATAAGCCCAGAGCTAGACTTGTGTAAATCTATATGAGAACAGCTGTAGGCTACACACTATTGACGCATGATGATAATACCGTCATTTTCCAAAAGGGATTTCCTCTATTAATGATATACCACCCTTTTCATGAGACTGTTATAAAGTAAAATAAGCCCTGCGCGAGACTTATGTAAAGCTATATGAGAACAGCGTTAGGCTACACACTACTGACACATGATGATAAGACCATCAGGCTATACTGCTGAATACCCTGCCACCCATTTACATGTCACTGAACAAGAATAGCGTCTACTGTGTTATACCTGGTTCTTGAAAGCCTCACGACACATGTAAATGAGGTGGGCCAAAGTGGCAGGGTATTCTGCAGTTACTCCATGCCATCATTGTACAAAAGGGGTTTCCTCTATTAATGATACACGATCTTTTTCATGTAACTATTATAAACCTATATAAGCACAGTGGTAGACTACTGTAAAGCTATATAAGCACAGCGGTAAGCTACACACTATTGATGCATGATAAGACCATCATTTTTAAAAAGGGATTTCCTCTATTAATGATTAACTTTCATGTAACTGTTACAAAGCTATATAGGCACAGTGGTAGACTGCACATTATGGATGCATGACGATAAGACCATCATTTTTAAAAAGGGATTTCTCCTTTTAGTGATCCTCTGTAATTCGTTTTTTCTACTGGTATTCATGAAACGGTAAGCCACCCATCAGATTTGAGACAAACACAACTACTCTTTTTTCTTGGTGTTTTGTTTGGGCCATGTACAGTGAAGAAGAGTGAGTCACACTAGTCATTAATATGTCACATGATATATCATCACTAATCACGCGATGAAAAATCTGTCAACAAACAATTGTTATGATAAACAATCAGTGAAAACAAAAGAGGTGATTCTACGCGAACCGTAAATGCCTGACTCAATAAAAAAAAAATTCATACATTTCTCAAATTCAAGTAATCTGACTCTCTGTTTACTCTGTAAATTTACTTTTATATGTTAAGGGATTTCAAAATAACCTCGAAGTTCAGTTTTATCTGATATAGCAGATAAAGCACGAAAGATAATTAGAGAACTTTATTGACATGCTTGCTAAAAGAAAACAAGGGAACTTTTCTGATATACTCATCTTTCGGTCGAATCTCTGCTATTTCCCTCTTTGCCACTGTTTTTTGTTCATGTAGATATATATATGTATTTTTTTTTTTATTATTATTATTTTTTTTTTTACCTTTCCTCTACATTACATGTGGTACGATTGATAGTTTTATGAACCATGCATATGAAATGGAGGAGAAAATTTTCTACTATTGAGCGAAGATAAGTAATGAGTACAATTCAAAATTTCCGTCTCCATGTTCAAGCATTTTCGTTATTTACTTTTTAGGAAAACAAATTGAGAAAACTGTGGCAGATATTTCTATCACACTTTCTCTCGCTCCAAGAAAATAATGCTTCTTCACGCGCGCGTTCTCGTCTTCTAACGGAACAAACCTCGGTCTTTAGCTCTTTTTCTTACGAGAATCTAAAGGTCCTCAACGATACCTTGGACTGGTCGATGCTTGTCACGCATAACATTCTTACTATCAGATTGTACTGACATGTTACGTTTAAATGGAAATCAGATAATTTACGAGAAGCTACACAAAGAATTTCGTCTCTGAAAAAAATCTCTGTCTTGAAAAGCATCAACCCTTTAGTTAACTCTTACCTTCAGTGAAACGCATCAATTTTAGCCTTTGGTGACTCCTTGCAACACAACGCGCAGAGTAAGAATAAGCTTTAAGGTGTTCGTGCCCTGATACAGGCGAACTTTGTCCCATCACTCTTTGGGGTAAAAGTATCTGTATGCGTGGCACCTGACAGACAGTAGGCAACCTGTTGAAAAAGATTAAACCAAGTAAGCTCTGAGCTATTCGGTTGATCAGTCGTCCAAGGAGAAACTGACAAATCGTCTCCTAGGTACATGAGATAAATCAAAGAGGAACAAACACTCAAAGCTAATACACACTGCCTTTTGGTTTGTTATCTCTGAAAAGGATTCATTCATACTATGGAGTTGACTCAGGTGGAGGTTGCACCATTGCAACTTAAAAACAAATATTTTTGGGGGTCCTTTGTGAATCAGGGAGATCTTTCACCGACCCAAGTGGCTGTCAATATTACAAAAAAAGACGATTGAGTGAGGTTAAGAAGGCTAGCGCTTTTTTGTAACAATCCTTGAAAATTGGACTCTTGCCTTCCGACCAAGGTTTGTAAATTTACGTCGCGATATTCAATAACTAATTATTTGAAGATAATGGGAATATATCACTCCTAAGATAGAAATGGAAAAAGCAATTTGAGCAGTGTAAAAGCTCCACCTTTCGGAAGCCCCGCAGGAAATGAGAAACTTGTGTGAATTGAAAGTTAACGTTCCTTTTTTTTTTGGAACGGACTCTGGGCCGCGGGGGGCAATGTCTTCTTTCATGCGTTGGCAAAGCTTATTGTTAATGGCCATTATAATGTCTGATACATTTCCAGGTTGTGACCCAAAGAGTTGGAAATTAAGGAGCAAAGGAGGAATACAAAATAGTACGTGCTCACGAAAACGAAAGCAAAAATATTTTTGTCAAGTGTCGCCTTCGTGACCATCACAATGACGTTTGATTCCAAATTCTGTCTATCAGAGAACTGAAAATGAAAGCACAAAAGATCCCATGTGAAAAATCATACACAGATCAATCACTCCTCACAAGTTAGGTCATCAAAGCTAAACCTGATGTTTTCAATAAAAAAAAGGGAGAGGAAGTCAATGGCGGAGTTGTTTTCCGCAGAACCATTTTTTAGTACGTACTCATTTTTACACACCAAACAAAAATCCGTTTTTAACTCTATTCATGTTATGTGATCTAAGTCTTTCCGGTAAAATTTTACTCATCCTTCTCCTTTAGTTACTTACGGCGACGTTACGTGATCAATCGAGCTGTAATTCAACTTTTGGGCACGCAACAATTTTAGAGGGCAATTGCCCGTGAGCTATCGATCGAAATTTCTCCTCAAAAACGAGACCAAGTAGCAGCTCACTCAAAGGAAAGTCTTTCCACGTAGCAGAATCAATATTCGAGTGAATGTGTAATGCGGAATTATTCTATTTGTTTTTAAAAAGGTGAGTTACAGCAAGATAGTCCCTGAGCCTTTCAAGTGAGAGCCATGTTTATGTCGCCTAAACAAGACAGAGGTGCTCCTTTAATTATTTGATGATCGATGTTTGGACTGCTCAATTAGGCCAACTGAGAAGGATAGCAACAGTTGAAACGACCTTGAGTCTTGTATTCCAAGTTCCAGATGAAATGTTCGGCCGAAAGTGATCTTCTGTGTTTAGAGAGAAGAAAAAGTTGGCACAAGAGGACATGATCATGTTACTACTATTGTTATTAAGATTGAGTGACTGATTGATTTTGTTCGATGGACTGATTTCTGGATTGTTTGGTTCATTTCATAATCTATCATCGGTTTCTTTGCTTATCTATTCATCGATTTATTCCTTTGAATTGAATTGTTAATTGTTTGATTGATCGCTTGGTTGAGTGATTGATTCATCAATTGTTTACCGACTTTTATTGGTTGATTTTTACCAACATTGTTCAGTCATCCCATATTTTTACCATTTCCTCATTCATTTTTACTTTGAAGAGCTACAAATGGGGCAACCTTATCATGTTCCGTTAGCTTCTTCATGAAAACATTTAAGATGTCTTGTCCACGATCACGACAAAGTGGACACAAAAACAGGCGTTCCTGCATAATTATTGTTAAATAACATAAAAATTAGCAAACTTATTTTCAAGACAGAAAAGTATGGAAAATGACGATTATAGAAAGAGGTCTGGGGTTCCATAATCTTAACCTGGAAAGTAGAAACTTTGCTTTGGGTATCTTAATTGCAACAATTTTCTCAGCCAAAACCAGGAGAGGATAAACTTTATCCTCCCTTGTCAGAACCTTTTCATGGCACAATTGGATAATTTTCATTTTTCACCCGGCAAACCTTTGGCAACCCTTGGGTTTGTAGAAAAGAATAGTTGTGAACACTGGCACCAGTCAACGAGTGAGAACATTCAACAGCAACGAAAGAAAACCCATTCCTGTTTTCTTTTGACTTGGATTATTTATTATTGCAGCAAATTTACAATCAATGTTTAAATTCAATTTACACAATATTTATCTACGAAAAAAATGAAGAGATTTCTTAAACTTGTCAAGACTGATACATTGCCATTCTCTTGGTATGCGTTGCTATAGGTATATTTTGAGCTTATTGCCTTGAAGAGCATGTTTATAAGGACCAATATACAAACACGACTAAGTGGCTTGTCACTATGGTCGGCGAGAAATCAAACAAAAGAAAACCAACTTTTTATCTACACTTTACAAATACCTGGTTGTCCCAGTATGATACAGTCGTATAATGTGTTTTTGTAAACTAATAGTTACAAGTTCATGTCTCGCTAATTACTGTAAAATGAAAAACTACCCCGAAATGCCAAATAAAAGAGAAAAAATTATAGCGTAATCGAAGTCGTGTTGTCACTACACAAAGTGTTACCGAAGTATTGAACATGCTACTTGAACCAGACCACTGGGAGATACGGACTCAGCTTGGTTGTTTGCTCAGTTATTAGCCTGAAAATTGGAAAAAAAAAAAAGAGTAGAATTAATAACATCAAAATAACTCAAGTTAGTTAGGTTTGGTATGTAATATTTGGGCTTTTTATTGCGCTTTTGATTAACATGCGAACTGTGAGATTCATAGCCAAACTTACGATTTCCTCTCGTGTTATCGTAAATTATTGTACGAGCGGCCATTTTGTAACTGCGAAACACGAAATGGAGCGAGATCCTTTAATTTCAGTCAAGCAAGGAAAATGACTTTTTAAAGCCCGCTTAAACAGCGCGCATGCCTCTTCAAAGGTCTGCAACATTGCTCAGGGTTAGGGTTACTAAATTCAATGTAACGTAAACTTCATTTTCAATTATTCATCAATAATTTCAACACTCGCATGTTAATGAATGCTCATCATGATTGATAAAAAATTATCAGAGATGCAAAATGCCAGCAGACACTAACTCTAAGTGCGGTCCTCTCCTAATCGGCTCCAAAGGTTGGTTATCCTTATTTACAGTCTTAAGATGACAAAAGCGATCATGTCTGTTCTCATGCCAAACACTCTCAGCCACAAAGACGGAGCATTCCAAGATGGTTGCTTGGTTTCGTCTGCGGCACCATTTATACTCTTGAGTGTGAATTTGTGAGAGCACCGTATCCTACCCAAAATTAATCTTAAAACATACACTGAAGTGATAGCTTAAATGGGTAACAGAACTTACCATTACGTAACTGTTAAACGAAATGGTTGGCTAACTATGTCTACTCCTGCAATGTCTGCATCGCAGCCATAAACGACGTTTCCATCCGATCGCTGCACATCCGTTAGAGTGAACTCCAGCCTGCACCCGGTTGAACGGATGGTTCCAGAATAACTAATCCGACCTCTGAGATTCTTCGGAAGCCTCTGATTGATAAACAAAGAAAGGATGCCCTTTGTAACGGTTATGTATTTGTTGGTTACGTGGCCGCTGTCAACTGTTCCCCAGACAAACTCATTAAATTCGGTCCAATCCTGTCTGTTTCCAAATTTAAATTTCCAGACAAACGTCACTGAATCATTCACAGCAACATTGACATTGACTGGAGGTGTGGCAGTAAACCGTGTGTTAGAATGGACTGAAAGAAAGAAACAGATGATTTTCAAAGACTGTAAATATAAAAAAGTATTCCCAGTTGGGCTACAGTATCCACTTTGAGTATCGCTCTAACGTACTTTCACGTACTCTTCTTGCATAACCAGTTCCATCATTCTTAAAATGCACTGTGCAGTGATCAACAGAGGTGTCACCTGCGAAAACTCAAATTTTAGTGACAACTAGTGGTTTTTTCTTTCTATCCGGGTCTTCAAGGATGTTTTAAGCATGTGAAACTGGCCAACATGTAGACGTTTGGATGTCAATTCCTTCGAATTTCACTACAGGAGAAGTTAGTAGACAATAAACTTTTCTGTTATCTGCTGATCTCTAAATCTTGCTATTAGATCTAAGCTGTCGAGACTCAATCAGGTCTGAAAAGCTCCCCACTCTCAGTCTCTACTTTATCATGATGAGTCATACGTGATAGTTTTCAGAAGTGTTTCATTTATTATGGTCAGCCCCTTTATACCTCAGCTGCCTCTGCAAGCGTTGCAATGTAGCTGATACTGGCGAACTTCATTGGCAGCTGTTTTCTCATCCATCTCATCACGTATTGTGGAATAAACATGTTTTCTTTTACGTAAAATCCCCGTAGAAACTTCGTTTTATTTCAACAACCCAAAACAAAAAAACAAAACAGTATATAAGGAAAACTTACCGCCGTAGACAAGGCCAAAGGTAGAACAAAGCAGAAGAACAGAAGCTCCCAGTGTAAACGACATCTTTGTGCAAGTTTTTCAAATCTCTGAAAAATAAAAAGGAAACGAAATTAATTAGATGAGTTTCTGAACTTTCTTAAATTGATAAAAGTAAAGATCAATACTTGAACGTTCATTGGTCCAAACCCATAAATTTGGGTGGCTACTAATTTTGTCTATGACAAAGACATCATGCATGCCACTTCAGACCACGCACCACACATTTTGTACTTTGAACCCGCGTCACATTTTATACTTTGAACCCTCTATGTTTGCATTTCAAACAGAAACAGAAATAATTTTAATCGTCTTTTAATAGCAGACGGTCGCCTTTTGGATCACTTCACTCGCTTGTATCGAGGATGATGGTAACCAGTTGTACTCTTCGAAATGGAAGGATGTTCAAGACACTGGAAAGTGTGTACGGGAAATTAGTTTTGAAAATCGTGCTTGGAGATGCACAAGAATAACACTGTCTAATGCAACAGGAACCTTACTCAGAGAAGGAAAATGGGTTGCATTAGGTGGAGCTCATAAAAGGACTTCATAAAAATCATTCTGCTGAAAAGGAATGGAAAATTCTCGAGCGAGATATTCTATGATGGAACTTAGAACCTCGCTTAAAGTTTTGAGTACGGCAGGTACATAATTTATGCTCGTACCTTTATTGTGTATTTTTCATACATAGGAATCGTCTTGAGAGAGAAATATAGAAACAATTTTTCATATTTGACAACTTTCGATAATCACCGCACGTCTCTTAAGAATAATACTGTTTTTTTTCATTTGTTTACTAACATAAGTACGCACATGCAGTCAAGTCAGTAAAGTTGTTAGGGAAAAAAAATCTCTGACAGACGGGCGATGATTTTAAATCAATGATTTCGAATAGAAGTTAAATAAGCCTTTCTCAGTCATACATTCAGTGTAGTTTGTGAAGATCTTTCAAACATTATCAGGGTATGAATTGGTCCTCGTTTATGGGTGACCTCAATTACACAATAGACCTTGTGCCAAAAGATTGTAGCGGTGATATTCCCTGCTTTTACTCTCAAATGACTGCATCAACACTTAACTCTGGTCGCTCTAATACACGGTCATAAATTAATGTGTATGATTGCTTACTGGTAGTTATATGCTTAGTCAAATTCCCACCGCTACCTTTATTCTCTTGTAGATTACTGTGTGCGTCATCACAAAATATTTTAAAGATTTGAAAGTCTGGGCACTGTACCAAGGTTAGTAAAAGCGCTCTATCTTTTACAAGCAAAGTCAATTGACTCTTATATGATTACATTTCGTTCTACGAGTTTTCATGGAATCTATTAAGTAAGGAGCGTAAGGTCGAAGTATTTTTAGGCTCAAATGAGGTTTCAAGAGGTTAATCACAGAGAATTACAGTTTATTGAATTAAGACATCTATCCTAATACCTTTGAGTGTTTGATTGCCACTAAAAATGAAACATTCACTTGGTATTTTGTTTGTTTGCGTTTTTTCTTCTGTTTTATGCCATGTTGATTTATTTTTCCATAGGTTCTGTTTTTGTTTGGTTTTTTCCTCGATTAATTTCAATAATTCTTGATATTTCAAGTGTATGCATTGTTAAAAATGTTTTGGTCTCAGTCGTTGACGTGAAATTTGTTCATGTCTCGTACGTTAGTGAAGTCGTTTCGCCGTTTATGACATTTACGAAACGATGACTTCATTAATATATCATATTTGCATTATCTTCCTGGTGAAAGCCTATATCGCTGTTTCAGATTTACCGATTTTCTTGAATGGCGAATGAATATTGTTGCTGTCGTATTCCTTCAAATATTGTGGTTTTGACCACAACTCAGGTTAAAACACATAATCGGAGGAAAACTCCAGTAATTTGACAGAAAAGTAAACACTCTTATTATCCATTGAAAATACATTTGTTAATTCGTTTCTCACTAAGCTTGGGCATGTGTATTACATAACTCGGATGTTTCATCTTTTCTTTAGTCAACACACAGGTTTATTTGCCTCTAGAAACCTCTCATCAGATTAAATCGGACAACATTGTAATGCTATACAGCGAGAAATGCATACAATAAAAATTTATGGTTGCAGATAGCAACGAGATTCGAACTCAAAGTATTTATTTCCTTAATTGAATAAAAGGTCGTTCAACCTTTCTCCTTATTTAAAGAGAAGCGAATACCTCAATAAGCGAAGATAGTGAATTACAACATTTCAAAACGATGTGAACCTAGGACAGATAATTCTCTAACTTTTGGGAAAAAAAAACAAAGCAAAATATGGAAATGAAAAAATACAAAAAATGGCAAGATAAGGCCCCCCCTACTCATAGCCTTGGGTACCGTTCTCCCCCTTCCACACATCCCCCCCCCTCCCAATCTGGAATCTTAATTTCATCGCGGAAGATTTTTTTATTCCGGTGTTTTGTGTTAAATGCTGAGATTAACGAACGAAACGTGACTGAAATCCACCGTGGGTGAGTGACACTTCGTTTTACTGTCAGCAGCAATGCCGGAGACTCCTTAGGGTCACTTACGGCATGTAGCATCAACAATTAAAAATGCGGGTGGTCCGCCATTTGAATCCCACAGGATTTTAATCACCGGATACTTCCTCGACACGAGATCCTGACTGACCACATTTTGATCGTTGCTCACGGCTGTATCTATTTCATTTCTTGTATTTCTTGCCCTTTTCACATGGAATTTTGTTGTTGTATTCCTTACTGACTCAATACTACTCAGCAGTATGAAGGCTATTTATTTTGGCTCAGTATCATTTTCCGTTAAGCTTGTTATTTTGTCTTTGTCGACATTTAACATTATCAATCTTGCCTGGTGGTCGCTCTGAATTGCAAAGAATGGCTGAAGACTCTTCTGAGACAAGCCATTTAAATCTTCCTATACAAACCATGTTTCCTTTTTGCGCTTCGTCTGAAGATGCGTTTTACTGTTGTTTCGAAAGTTGTTTTGAATTTTATCGTTCAAATACAGCTATTTTTGGACGACATGACATTGACCTATAAGTATCTTAGAGCGAAACATTGTTTGCTAGATATGTTGCTAAAATGATACATTTCGCAATTTGTTTCGGCATGTATGTATCGAATTCCCTTGAAGCACATTTGGAGAGACCGGATGTAGAGAGAACGAAAGGAATATAGTGCTTAGAGTCCTCCATAAGGCTAACGGTCATCAACTTTAGTTACAGAACAAAGTTTGATAAATTTTTGCTCCGAAGAGTTTACTATCAAGGCTTGATCTGAAAGAGACAAAATCTCTATTTTTCTCGTTCCGTTGTTGTTTGGGCAGCGCGCGAACGAACACGCGCACGCTCATAATATGTTACATGTAGTATATATTTTTACAATCTTCAACAAAGACTTTATTTCTCGTGCGTGGCTAATCCTCAAAACTCCACAAAATATGTCCAAAGGCTGTAGTATAAAGTGCTCCATAGGAAACTGAGGATTAATTTTCTTGATAAAAAAAATCGGAGAATATTCGAGGACGGAACAAATTCCTCCGAAGGAAACTGATCGCTCTGATCGTTCTTCTTGACTTTCTGTCGAGCTTTTATCATTACAGGTAGCAGTTGTCAAAGCACAGGATTCATTCAGCTGTTCAAAACGCAGGTCGTCTTTCAGGTCGAAAACAAAGGAGATAGTTGTGTTCGCTTAATGTACGTAATGTGATCGCCGAGGATGTAGGGATTTTTTTTGCCCTTATCTGACATTAAGGCTATAACTCTAATGGGAAAAAAAGACGACCTTCACATAACTTGGATATGTTCCATTCACGAAAGAAAAGAGAAATAGTTTTACGATGAAAGTGCTATTCATTGGCATCTAAAAAATATCTGGCCTGTCTCAGACACACTTCTTATCTCTCAGGGTCTTTGCAAGAAAAATACCGCGGTGATAATTTTTTCCTTTTACTTTTAAAAAGACTAAGAAGCTACATACAATTCGTTTTTAAGCGTACTTTCGCTCTCGTGGATCATGTACTCTATAGTTTAACCAAAGACTAAAGAAGCAGCCCTAGATTAAATTATTGCATTGCTTTGTTGTGCGTGAGGTTATCCATGTGGGAGTATCCGGGGGCGTGGACAATAATCACGCAACGAATGTACTTGAATAACAAAGATAAACAGAATTACGATCAGATTGACTCATGCCGCAAATGCAAAATTATAAATTAAAGGTGTTTGTAGGTAAGAGAATCTACCTTTTCGAATTTCCTTTGCATTTAGGCAAATAAAAAGAAGAGCTAAAACGGCAACCGGCGATAAATTCTAATTTTCTCTTCGATGAAATAACGAAGGCCAAGAAACTCTTTTAATACGTTTCCACGCGTACTTTTGTTCTCGTGGACAATGTTCTCTAAAGCTAGACTAAAGACTAAAGCAACCGCCGTAGTTGAAGTCATTGCGTTGGTGTTGTTGTGCGTGAGGTAAGCCGTGTGGGAGGAACCGGGGGCGGGGACAGAATTTAATAACGCAACGAGTCCATTTGAATTACGCAGATACACAGAACTACAGTCAGAATTAGTTCATACCACAAATTCAAGCTGTTAAAGGTCTTTAAATGTACTAATATCTTTGTTTTTCAATTTTCTTTGTGTTAAGACAAGTTTAAGTTTATTTAATAAATACTCAAGAGCGTCATCTCAAAAACTCTTTCCACTCGCCGAAAAGCTCTCGCTGTAAAGCATCGTTAAAAGTACAAGTCAAAAGGCAGGCATATCATCGGCAATGTGAATAGACACCTTTACGAGTTCCTTCAGAATCGTGAATTCATATTGGTTTGTAATGCACCGAGATCCAAAGATGACATGTTGCTAAGGAGTGAATCCCTCGCTACGTTGTAAAAGGTTTTATGGTACGAATCAGTCTAGGAGAAGCGTAAAAGCCCCGCTTAAGCCAAAATTCAGTTTTAAAGTGATGGAATTTGAAGTCAGTAAGAGCTCACGTAATCATAAAGCTTTCTTGCTTCGATGTCAACAGCTGGTACACTCAAGTGCGACTTCCCTTTTAGATGCTCAATAATCAAGACATGCTTGACAGTTAGTACATTTCTACTTGTTTCTTTTAGGTACATCCTATGTTTTCATAGATAACATTGCACAGAATTGTAGTCTGGAGACAAGGTGTGTTCTGTTGAGCGTGATTCAAGATGATGTGGGAGGTGTTGGGGGCGGGGTCGACTCAGCTAGATTAATAGAACGTTTTCATTGTGCTTGTCACACACCTTTGAGTAATCAAAAAATGTAACCCTTGCAATTATTTAATCAGATTAGATTTGTGGTGTACATTCAGGTCTGGTAATCACGCGGATTTTCATTTCCCCTTATCTTTTCTGCCTGCATTTATTGGTGCATATGTGGCAGTTCGAAACAATTAATTTGTGACATGAAATGGGACATTTTGAAATGTCGAATGAGTTTGAACACAAATCAGTTATTCAAAGCTCTTTATGTAGAAACTATTGCAAAAAATGACTTGAGGTAGTCCATGAGTTGAGGAATGATTACATCGATTTAGCCCACAAAATTTGCTATTTTTGCATTGCACTACAATCATCTATTTGAACTTGCTCGTCGATACTTTGCCAAGGTTATACGTAGATGAGTCATGAACTTCTAAACCTAGCAGACGAACGTGGCGGATAAACAACCATTGCATCTGGCAGGAGAACGAAGAGTGAAAACTTTCTGAATGAAAAGGGGATACCTACTCATCCTACATTGTTGAAAAGACTGTAGAATGGAAGTCATAACTACTTGTATTCAAACCTGAACAGTAAAGCGTTAGTTTTGTAATTTTTATCGAATTTTTTTTTTTTGCCTTTTTGATCATTTATTCTGGAACATTCGGCGCCTTCATCGAAAAACTCGCATAACAATTGAGCTCAGAAAGCCGGTCATAATGACTCGTCAGAAATCCAATTATCATACTTATGCTTTCATACTTTTATGCTTTTCGAGGGGTGAATCAACACTTTCACCGTGGGGTTAATGTTTTGAGCCACCGGAATACTGTTGAAATTCGAAACTTTTTTACAGCGCGCTCGCTGGGAAAGATGCCAATGTCAGCCTTTTAGAGGTCTTGGAATGGAGCTCGGTGAATTTTTGTTGAATGTGTCTGCAATGTCTGTTTTTATGTAACAACTAGACGTGTGTATGATGGAAATGCAGACACGATCTTTCGGGGTTCTGACCACAAGCATATTTCAGG